AAACCTTGGGGTGAACCACGATAACTCTTGTGTCATTTACATTTCATGCAGATTCACGGTCGGATTTACGTTGTACCAAGACCATCCGGTTTTGTGCATCAACATATGTATATGCTTAGGGTGATTATTGATTAATAATCTTTTTTTTTAATGTAATGTATATGTGTACGCTCAGTGTATATATTAAAAAATTTAGGTCCCGTGAGGCGAAGCCTCACGCCTAGGCTAGACTATCCCTCGGACGCCTTGCCCACACCTCACGCTTTTAATACATTGCGCTTTACACGCTGAATTCGAAACTACCAGTATTTATATAATTTAGATTTGCGAGGTCTCTAGATTATTTGTTCTAAAAATCCTCGCCTAGCGTCGCCTAGGCGCTAGGCGGCGGGCCACCGCCCCGCTTAGGCACCCGCCAAGTTTGCAACTCTCACTTAGACAGGAAATATTATTTAGCACTTTGTTTTTTAGTTAATAGTAAGAGACTTGTTGAATACTTGGATGAACTCTCATTATATGCTTGTGTCCCATGTTTTCAATATATTCTAATACTTCATAATCTATATTTAATTCTATTTTGCAATTTATGTATCCCAATACAATTATGTATTTTTTTAAGTAAGTAGACATTTATTTATATGTGATTGTGATATAAGAAAGGCTTTTTAGCCAAAATGGTCCCTGAGATTTGCATAACACATCACTTTGGTCCCTAAGATTTGAAATCAATATAAGTGGTCCATAAGATTGTCTATCATCAATCATTTTGGTCTTTCCGTGCAAAATTATGTTAAATAAGGACCAAAATGACAAATGTTCCCTCAATTTAATAAACAATGGGCCAAAATGATATGACAAAAACTAAGGGTATTTTGATCATTTTATTCTTATTTAATGGAGATTTTTCACAGAATGACCAAAATGATTGATGGTGGACAAACTCAGGGACCAAATGAGGAGTTATGCAAATCTCAGAGACCATTTTGGCTAAAAAGCCTATAATTAAAATTAAAAAAAAACCTCCTAGACACCTAGGCACTAGGCTCTTGCCCGTCGCCTGACTAGTGCCCAATGCCTTTCATAACTTAGAAAAGATCCTTCCCATGTATCTTATTATCTAGCTTTCAGCTGGAATTTAAGAGAGGGAATTTGTAAAATTTTATGATTTGATGTCTTTATCTTGCTCAAAGACTTACGACTTTGATTATTCAGTGACATGAGGCATTTTCTTAAGACTTTAATTATTCAGCGACATGAGGCATTTTCTTGTACGTCTTTTTGGTTAATTGCTAATCCAAACTTTCCCACCTTTGTTCTCTACAAAGTAATTTGAAAGTTTTGGGTGCCTAGTAAAATTTCAATTTCTTGCTTATCTGTTTGATGGTAAAATCAATACCTGTGATATGGCTCGAAAGAGAAAGGTCCTAAGCTTCATTATCTCTTCAGTGGTGCGTCTGTGCAGTCGTGTCGATGAATCTTCCAACTGTATATTCTTCTTTTACATTTCTTCTTCACTTCCGAAATGTATGGTTTGTTACTTCTGACTTCTTGTTTGGAGTGGGTACTTCCAGTTCTTGCGGAATGGTTTTTCTTAGGGAAGGAGTTTAGAAGAACTGCTGTATTGACCTCTATTTGGGTGTTGTGGTGGAAAGGAATAAAAAAATCTTTGATGATAGAAAGAAGAGTTGGCTTCATTGTGGCTCATAATTTTATTCCCAGCTTTTCTGGGCATCCCTGTCTAAGCTTTATAAGGATATCCCTTTTCCTGTAGTACGGTCCACGTGTATTTGTCAGCTAAATGATATTTTTCAGAGCTTTTAAGTATTGATTCAAGCTCTTCATATAGAAAATAGGAATTTGGGCTCTATTATCATTAATTTTGTATTTAACTTGCATGCACCGTTGGCTTACAGTATAACTATAACCTGATCCATTTTGAATGGATGATCATTTCTCTTCTACTTCCTGTTAGGTTAATGAATTTCTTGCTGGTGCTGGAACTGATGCTCCTGATGTTGATGAAGAAAACATAATCTCGAGGCCTTCAGTTAGTTATGATGATTTGTGGGCAAAGACCCTTTTAGAGAGTTCAGAGCTGGAGGTGTGTGTTTTACATAACGTTCCTCAGATGGCATTGCATGAAATGTAATAGAGGTGGAGTTTTCATGTATAGAATGAGGAGGTTGTTGCTGATTATTCTTTTGACATGTAGGAGGATGATGCGAGGTCATCTGGGACATCTTCCCCAGAATCAACAGGATCAGTTGAAACTTCGATATCATCACTTTGGTGGAATGAACTACCCTTCACTTTTCAGTTCGCGACCGGTATGAGATGCATTGGTCAAGTTAAAGTTTTATTTTGGTTTCTTTTATAAACTTCTATTTCTTTGTTTGCATTTGCCAAGGTTCTAGTACAATTGTACTAGGATTGGTTTCTTAGGCTCTAGAAGTTTAAATGAAGTGCCTAGTTCTTAAGTTTTAAACAATAAAAACTGGGCAAATAAAAGGGTGGCAAGATACTTTAAGCAATCTTGCAGTAATCACCATATGCTAAGAAGGGTCATTAGTAAATTTATGCTAAATTTATCGTTCTGTTTTTTGTTGTTACTGACTATATACATAGCATGAAATTGTTACAATCCTGACTCCATGGAAGTGTAGCCCTTGTCTTTAAGATTTAATTTTTGAATCAGGCTGGGGGAGTGTAATATTGAATTATTCACTTTTCACATTTACCTGTCTGCCTCATAAACTGTGTTTGAGCAATTCTTGATAATCTTGGTGACCTAATCTGATAGACAGTTCTTTTTGTCTTGGAAACTAATGGAGGAGGGGAGAGAAATGGATTAGGGAGAGTCTGGACCAATTAGCTTTTTTAATTTGTAAAATTTCTTTTGCTTGACAATTTTGTCAAATTCTACTAAAATTTATTAGTTCGCGGTGTTTTGGTGGAGTATGATGGACCACAGCTAGTGCACATAGTATGAAATGGTAATTGGAGCTCATGAAGAATTGATATAAATATTGTCTAGATATGAGGCATGTAAGAAATCCTAGATATGTGGTTAAAATGTGTACATGAACGTTTGATCAGTTGTATAATGTTATAATCTGTACAAAAATGTGCTTTTGATTTTTCAAGAACAAAACAAAAGAAGCACCTGAGTTCTAAATTTGTACTTTTTGTGTCTGAAAATCAAAACTGAGGATTAGTGATTAGGGTCATTCTCTGACGTAGTGTGTCTCTCAAAGGGTTGATTGACAATTCTGATTTATAAGAACTGAGATCAAATATGTTCTTTACCCAAACTAACATATTGCCTGATTGATGTCCAGAAAATTACTGGGTGATTATATATTTGTACTTAAACATACTCTATATCTCCTAGTATTTCGGATTTAGTTTTTTGTTGAATTAATCATTTGTAACAGGAGAGGTCTGGAGGGAGCAGATTTAGCAATCCATCTACAGGGGGTCCCTCATTCAGTGAGGGTTTAGGATCTCCAGTTAGTGCTCGTGGCCTCTCTTCTAGCTATTTTTTTCCCCTTATGATTCTGTCAGAATTGTAATTCTCCTATTTCTTTCCAGATTAGAGAAGAGCCTCCGCCATACACATCACCTGCCACGCAAAGATATGAGTCATTCGAGAATCCATTAGCTGGGCGTGGATCCCAGAGTTTTGGATCTGAAGATGACGAACGTACTTCTTCTGGAAATCCTCAAAATGGAACGGCACTTTATGACTTCACTGCTGGTGGAGATGATGAGGTAAGTGAACTCGTAGTGATTTAGTCTTGGCCTTAACGTTGTGTTTTATGACCTAAGGGTGTATCACTCCTAACGTTACTGCAAGCATTTTGTGTGAAATGATACATAAGTTTACTAGATTAAGTTTCTTGTTTTTGATGTATCTACTATTGCCGTCTTTTCAGTAAGACATTTTGAGCAGTTTCAAAGGAAATATGGAGGTGATTGACATGAGTTTTCTGTCCATGCAGCTAAATTTAACAGCAGGAGAAGAGGTTGTAATAGAGTACGAAGTGGATGGCTGGTTTTATGTAAGTGTACAGAGAGAATAGGATTAAATAAAGACAAAAAGAAAAAGGAAAATTCGTTTTCGTGCTTCAGTACTCCTATATCTAGGAAGCAAGTAATTCACTCTTTTCTGTCCCAGACAAAAAAAAAAAAAGAAAAACAATTTGCTTTATCACATTTTCATTGGAGCAATTTTTCTAGTTACTCTTTGAAGGGATGTTGGCTTGCTGGTGAGGCAAGATATTGTATTCATGGCTGTTGCTAATGTGCATTTTCACTCATTACAGGTGAAGAAGAAACGCCCTGGGAGGGATGGAAAAATGGCTGGGCTGGTCCCCGTCCTTTACGTTAATCAGTCTTGAATTACAGATTGTACAAGCAAGTCTGGTCCTCTTTTGTTGTTCTTCACAGCCTTATTACATGGCTGTCTGGTTTTGAGAAGTCACAGTGCTGCTCGAATATTGGAAGTTTCAGCGTCTAGTTTCTTGAGTGTCCAAATACATTAATAGTTTGAGCTGTGGGGGAGTTCCCTGGAGAATCAATAGTGTATTAACTTGTGTTGGTTCTCCTTGACCTTTTCTCGGCTTTGTGGTTTTAATGTTGTAACTAAAAGAAACAGAGCCAGTATTTGGTCGAATATCACCGAGTGTGTTGTTTGTACCGGTTGCTTGTCTACTTGTGTACGTACGTATGTATAATATAGTATAGGGGTTGAATGAATCAATATATTATACAGGAGGGAGAGGTTGTTCGTTTGGCTGTAACCAGAAGAATAGAATGGCTATTGTATTCACCCTTTTTATGGATGTAATTTTTGTTACCAGATGCTGCTATAGATTTTACTAGCAAAGATGCCCGCGCGTTGCTGCGGGACTTGAATGCACCAACCTTAACCACATGAATTAAGACATTCTATCTATACTAAACGTTGGTGGAAAAACACTGTTCATTAACAGTGCCGTTCCTGTTTTGTCCCTCATCTAACGCACGGTTTTCAGCCTTTTAAAAGATGCTACAGGAATTGTCGATTTTGCCCCTCTGTGCAATGAGCCTACATACGGAAAGGTGCTCGAACCTTCTCTCATTTTCTTCCGTTGCTTTTTCCTTTCGCCTGCTCTCTGTTTTTCTGCTTTTCTCCCTATTCGATCTTCGTGTTTCCTTGCTTCTCTGTTTGTGTTCATCGTCTGCCGTTTGAAAAGGTGGTTTTTCTGGCTGATTGCGGTGTTTCAGGTGGTTTGTCTATTTAATTCTTTTTCTCTTTTCTTTGATTAGGAAGAAAAATTGTAGATCGATTGGTGTAAAATTAAAATCTTTGCGTTTTTTTATCAGTTTTTTCCTAATTTTTTCGTGTTTTTAGCATCGTTGTTTAATCCGATTGCATTTTTTCTTTCAAGATATACTGCTCTATCAATTTTAGGGTTTCTCTGTGCAATCTTGGAAGCCCTTTTCGATTAAGGTGTGTGGGTTTTTTATTTGGAATGTTTTATGCATTTTTTCTGATATTTGTGTTTAGTTGTTCCATCTAATTGCATTTTTCATCTTGGGAAATTTTGGTCTTTTAGGTTAGGGTTTTCCTGTACATTGATTGTCTGTGCATCGATCCTTCCCTAAAACTTAAAAAAAAAACAGAGGGATAGTCATCCTTAAGTTTTTGGGTTTTGCTCTGCATGTTTCGGTTTTTTGATGTGGGTGAGGATTTTTTTATTTTCTTTATTTTTTTTTTTTTTGTGTTTTAGTTAAATGGCTAAACATTTCTCAGAAACACATGTGGATGATCAGAAAGAGAGAGAGACAATTAAAAAACGTAGTCTATGTGAGTTCATTGTTGCTACATTGTTGAATATATTAAGAATGATGTGATAAACCGGAGAGGGAATCATCAGCTCATGGATGTGTTAACACATCCAATGTGTTGTGATCTTTTTGCTACTTAAACTTGGTCTGGTACTTTACTTACGATGCTATTGGTATACTCCAACGATAATGGCTAGCTAGGATAGCCTTTCTTTATGTCTTAATTATTGATAGTGCTGTCATCATGGCAGATCGATTGGTGTAAAATTAAATCTTTGCGTTCTTTATTAGTTCTTTCCTAAATTTTTTCATGTTTTTAGCATCGTTGTTTAATCTGATTGCCTTTTTTGTTTCAGGAAATACTGATCTATCAATTTTAGGGTTTCTCTGTGCAATCTTGGAAACCCTTTTCGATTAAGGTGTGTGGGTTTTTTATGTGGGTTTTTATTTCAACTTCAGGTGTTTCCTAGCTTAGAATATTTCTTAAGAACGAGAATGTAGTTTTGATCTTCACTGCTTTGCATTGCAGCTCTTTTTGATAACATTTATAATGCTATATAAACTTGCTAGATTAATATTGCAATTTAATACTGTTGTTTATTCTGTGTGGCAAGTTATTTTAGTAACATATATTTCATTTTAGTAACATTTACACTGTTGTCTGTCGTAGTTAGACTTGCCGTTTGTTTGTTTTTTATTTTGTAAATCCTGTGTCTTTTGTGGTTAAATTAGATTATCCCAACCTGCATAAAATTGAGTCATGTTGATAAAATCTTTGTCTTTATTATGCTGTTATTAAAAGTAGCCTTGAAATATTTTAAATTCGTTTTATATTTATTTGAGAATTAATTATTTCTTTGTTTGCAATCATTTGCAGATTAATTTTGGTTTGAAAAAAAAAAAAATCTTTGCTGCATCTCAGTTCCTATTGTAATTTTAACTGCCAAGTTAGCTTTCAGCTGTCAAGTTTACAGACAATTGATTGTGTTTGTAAGTACTTTTCACTTTGTTAATATTGTCTTCAACATTATATTTCTTCCTTTTCTTTGACAATTGTCTAATTGCAGTGAATATTGTGGCTCTAAATTGTATATCGAATCATTCTTTTCAGATATTTCTTTGCTTAAGTTATAATGTTGAGCTACTTTTATATTATAATTTTATAACTAGATAGTGCATTATTATAAAAATAGAATGTTTTGTTTTTTTATCAATGTTATGTATGCAGTATAGTCCTTTTGTTTTTTTTTTCCTTACTCTGTATATTACCTTTTTATCTGAGAAGTTACTTTTAATTTTAGCTTATACATTTTAAACCCATCGGTTCTACATTGTGTTAATCATGATTCTTGAGACCATAGATAGTTTTTATTTTCATAGTTAACTGTGTTATCGTTTTTAGTAAAACTGTGAATATCATAGATAAATTATGTATAAAATGCTTTTTTGTAGTCATATACTGTGTTATTAAAAAAGTTCAATGTTTGCAAAAACTATCAATAGCACGAAATGATATTACAATTTTCTATTGTGATAACAATTTTTCTTTTAGTTAACATATACATTTCTTTGAACAGGTGTATATCTTAATTCTGTGTCACCCATTGTGTAAAAAAGTTTTAGTGCTCCTATTTTCTCACGTTTTATTTGATAATCTAGCCATCAATTTATATAATTTATGTGTTAATAAAAATCAATTGGTTTTTTTTTTATTTTTTGTAATTTGTCTTTCATTGAGAATAAACATTGTTAATACTGTTGATCTTTGCAGTTTCCACTCAGCGTGGATAAGACAAGTAAAAAGTGACACTCCCATTGAAAACTTATATGCAAAATAAATTTTGATCTGTGGTTGCATGGTGCATTGCTGCATAGTTTCACAACTGAACTATAAGAAGTAAGAATGTAGTTATCTTATTACTTTGTTAATTTTTAAATTTTTTTAAGTTCTATTTATTATTTGTTTTATATTTTCTTTCTTGCCATTTGTTGCTGAACTAAATTCTATTGTAATAATTGTTTGTTGTTTGCCTTTTTGAACAGATTGACTATCGTGTTTTCTAAAATTTCAACTGTTTAAGGTGAGCAATTTTCAATTTTAAATTTTGAATTATTTAGTTTTAATTTAAATACTTTTTTTAATCTTCTTTTTTTTTTTTACTTTTTTTTTCCAGTCTAGCATTTTAAAGTTTGGGTGGTTTATTCTTTTTAATCATTATAGTATATCTGGTATACATTTGTTTAATCTTCGCATTATATGTTTGTTGATACTTCTTTTTCTCATTTTTTGGCTTTTTTCCAGCGTGGTTTCCTCTAATTTGTTTTCAAATTCGTATTCCAATTTGATTCTATCATGTCAAAAAGACTTGCAAATGCTTTAACAATTAATGATACAGAACACGAAAAAGAGTTTGTTGATAATCAATCCAATGTTTTATCTGAATATGATAGACAATTTAAAAGAGTGTGCAGAATAAGTTGTATACAAAACTGTGTCAACGTTTTCTCATCTAAGAGTAGTCCAATTATTCAGCAAAACTCAGCCATTGACTACCAAGGTGGTGCTAGCACATCTTCTGTTCAACAAGATGTTGAAAACGTAAATTCTTCCAATATCGATGAATCACATTGCATGACTTTTGTTGAAAAAAATGCTTTCTTAAGAGATAAAAAGGGAAAAAGGGTTGTCAATGTATTAGACCAATCTATAAAAAACACTCAACAAACCCTTGATGATCAGAATGGTAATCTTATGAACAAGGGTCAAGCATTTTTTCAAAAAAATAGAAAAGGTCAGTTCTTAATTTATGCATCTATTAATTTGATTTATCAAGAATTTCAATTTTCTAATTGCCTAAATAATATTATGCTCATTTTGTTTTTGTTTTCTCTATTTTTTGTGTATCTTTTTTTGTAGGAGTTGTTAAAGAATATGCGGACTTGGGAGATAAAAGTTATAAGTGTGTTCATTGTGGTGCTTATTTTTGGCTAAAAGAGTCTCTTAAACCAAAGTGTAAAAAGGATCTACCTGTTTTCACTCTTTGTTGCCAACAAGGAAAAATTAAGTTTCCAAATCCAAAACCAGCACCACCATTTTTAGATTACTTACTTGATCCAACTAAAGGGCAAAAAAATTTATCATTTCGAGAAAATATTAGAACTTATAACTCAATGTTTGCATTCACTTCAATGGGAGCCAAAGTTGATAACTCAATTAACAATGGATCAAGCCCTTATATTTTCAAAATCAGTGGTCAAGTTTGTCATTTAATGGGATCTCTTTTGCCTATGGATAATGAGTCTCCAAAATTTGTGCAACTGTATGTCTATGATACATATAATGAGGTGGAAAATCGTCTTAAAGTTTTTAGTTCCAATGGCAATCAAAGGCTAGATCCAACGATTGTAGAAGGGTTAATCAAAATGTTTGATGCATCAAATGAATTGGTTAAACTTTTTCGAATGGCGAGAGATAAATTTGAAAACAATGGTCTTTCTTCATTAAAAATGACTTTGCTAGGGAGGCAATTAAATGATGGCAAACAATATGAGCAACCTACAACTGATGAAATAGGTGGTTTAATAGTTGGAGATATAGGATTGTATGATTCTAATCGAGATATTATTATAGAGTCTAAAAGTCGCGAATTAAAACGTGTAACAAAGTTGAATCCTAAATTTATGTCTCTGCAATACCCAATTCTTTTTCCATATGGTGAAGATGGTTATAGACCAGATTTAAAATGGAATGAAAATTATAGAGGTAAAAAAACTAAAAGACAAAGAATACCAATGAGAGCTTTCATTGCTTATCAAATTCAAGAGCGAGAACCACCGTTAAGTACATTGTTAAGAGGAGGAAGACTTTTTCAACAATATTTGGTTGATTCTTTTGCAACACTTGAAGAAGATAGATTAGATTATATTAGACAAAATCAAAAAAATTTGAGAAGTGAAGTTTATAAAGGGATATATGATGCATTCTCAAAAGGTGATACTGATGCAAATAATTTGGGACAAAAAATTGTATTACCTGCTTCATATACTGGAAGTCCTAGATATGTGATAAATAATTATCAAGATGCTATGGCTATTTGTAGAGAATACGGACATCCTGATTTGTTTATAACATTTACATGTAATGTTAAATGGCCAGAAATCACAAGAGAGTTTGATAATAAGCCAAGATTCAAACCTGAAGATAGGCCTGATATAATTTCTAGAATCTTCAAAATGAAGCTTGATCATATGATTGATTTCATCAAGTCCGGGAAGCCTTTTGGAGAAATTCAAGCAAGTAAGTTACTAAAACTTATTCTAGCACTTATTTCAAGCTTTTCAGTTTTCTTATTTATTATAAAATTTACTTTTATTCTTTTCTTTGTTTTCATTTTTTTCCCATGAACAGATGTTTGCACAGTTGAGTTTCAAAAAAGAGGTTTACCTCATTCTCATATGTTAATATGGCTGAAACCAAATGTGAAATGTTTTTCCGCATCAGATATAGACTCAATTATTTCAGCTGAATTACCTGATAAAAATTTGCATCCACAACTTTATGAAATCGTTAATCAATTTATGATTCATGGTCCATGTGGTTGTATTAATCCAAAATCACCTTGCATGCAAGAAAATAAATGTTCTAAAAACTTTCCTAAGCCATATAAAAGCGAAACAATTTTTGACACAAATGGTTTTGCTGTTTATAAACGTCGTGAAGATGAAGAAAAATTTGTGATTAAAAACGGTATAAAAGTTGATAATAGTTTTGTTGTTCCTTACAATGCAGAGTTATTACTAAAATATAATGCACATATAAATGTTGAATCATGTTGTCAATCAATGCTTATAAAATATTTATTCAAATATGTAAATAAAGGTTCAGATAGAGCACGATTAGTTCTTCAACAAAATTTGAATGATGAGATTTTAGCATACCTCAATTGTAGATATATATCACCTTATGAGGCTGTTTGGAGACTATTTCAATATTTCATACATCATAGAGAGCCTTCTGTAGAGCGATTACCAGTTCATTTACCATTAGAACAAAATATTGTTTTTACTGCTGATCAATCATTACAGTCAATTATTAATCAAAAAGCTTTTGAAAACACAATGTTAACGAGTTGGTTCGAATTGAACAAAATTTTTCCTGACGCGCGTGCACTAACTTATGCACAAATTCCCACAAAATTTTTGTATGATCTAAAGAAAAAAACTTGGAAGCCAAGAAAATATAGAGCATCAATTGGTAGAATAGCATATGTACATCCTGCATCTGGCGAATTATATTATTTACGAATGCTTTTGAATTTAAAAAAAGGCGCCATTAGTTTTGAGGATTTAAAAACAGTTAATGGTGTTGTACATTCTTCCTACCATTCTGCATGCAAATCATTAGGACTATTATGCGATGATAAAGAATGGATTGAGGCTTTATCAAGTGCTGCACATATTGCATCGTCTACTCAATTGAGACAATTGTTTGTCACAATAATTTTATTTTGTGATGTAGCAAATCCTCAAAATCTTTTTTATAGTCATTGGCAAAACATGTATGATGATATTTTATACAAATTGCGAAAAATTTTTGCAATTCCAAATATGATTGTGCCAGAACATGAATTAAAAAATTCAGTGCTATTTGAATTAGAATTACTTCTTAATAATGCATCTACCTCTTTGAAAAAATATCATCTTCCCATGCCTGATGCACAAAAAATGTTAGAAATTCAAAATAGGCTTTTGAGAGAAGAATTAAATTATGATTGTGAAGAACTTTATAAAAAACATGCACTTTTGAAATCACAACTTAACCAAGGTCAAAAACATGTTTATGATTGTGTTATAAATGCTGTAAATGCAAAAAAAGGAGGTCTATTCTTTGTTTATGGTCATGGAGGCACTGGAAAAACTTTTTTATGGGATACAATTACAAGTAAGCTTAGATCAGAAGGTAAAATTGTTCTAGCTGTTGCATCATCAGGAATAGCATCATTATTATTACCAGGTGGTAGAACAGCCCATTCTAGATTTAAAATCCCTTTGATTATTACTGATTCTTCAATTTGTTCAATAAAGAAAAAAACTCATCTTGCAGGATTAATTGAAAAAACAGATTTAATTATATGGGATGAAGCACCTATGAATCATAAATATTGTTTTGAAGCATTGGATAAATCGCTTTCGGATATTTTATCAAATTCACAAGCTTTCGATAAAAATCTCCCATTTGGTGGAAAAACTCTTTTATTGGGTGGTGATTTTCGACAAATATTACCTGTTATTCCTGAAGGAACTAAAGAGGATATAATAAATGCTTCATTGAATAGTTCTTATTTATGGCCATATTTTAAAATTTTTCATTTGAAAGAAAATATGAGATTGTCAAAAAATGGATTGAGTAGTGAAGAAAAAAATAAAATTAGTTCGTTTGCAAATTGGATTCTACAAATTGGTGATGGACAAATTAATGATACAAACAATGTGAATAATTCAAATGATAGGGATACATCTTTGATTCAAATACCACAAGATTTGATAATTGATTGTTCTACAAATGCTGTCCATTCAATTTTTTCTGCAACATACCCGAGTTTTGAAACTTTTTTTTACAATTTTGCTTATTTAAGGGAAAGAGCTATTATAACACCTCGAAATACAACTGTTACAGATGTGAATAATTATATAGTTAATTTATTACCTGGACAACAACAAACATTTTTGAGTTATGATTCTTTATGTTCTTCAAATGCAAATGTTGAAAATCTTGAAATAATGTACCCGACTGAATTTTTAAACAAGCTTGAATTCAATGGTTTACCTGCACATAATTTGGTATTAAAAATAGGAATGCCTATTATGCTACTACGAAAATTAAATCAGTCTTCAGGTTTGTGTAATGGAACTAGATTAGTTGTTACTCAATTATTTGATAGAATTATTGAAGCTAAAATTCTTGCTGGCACTAATATTGGTCATAAAGTTTTCATACCAAGAATCACTCTTACAGCTACAGAAAATAAGTGGCCTTTCATCTTCAAAAGACGTCAATTCCCAATTAGAGCATGTTATGCAATGACAATCAATAAAAGTCAAGGACAATCTCTTAAACAAGTTGGTTTATATCTTCCAGAACCTGTTTTTACACATGGTCAATTATATGTAGCATTATCAAGAGTGACATCAAGAGAAGGTTTAAAAATTTTAATAGAAAATGTAGAAAGTAGTGTTAAAAACTGTACTTTGAATATTGTTTTTAAAGATGTGTTACAAAATTTACAAGAAAATTAACCTAGCTCAGAAACTCTAAATCTCTCACTTTCTCATCTCTCAAATCACTTCTCTCTCTTCCATCTTTCCCAATGTCTCTGTCTCTCGGCTCTCTTGCTCAATCTATGTCGACTGAAATTTCAAGGTGATTTTCCAACCCTAAATTGATATATTTCATACCTTCATTTGATCTTAATTTATCTAGAATTGATCTGCATATGTGTAGTATAGATATTTTTTTTTAACTAATGTTATAGAATGCATGTCCTATTCAGAAATACTGAGATGGAATAGGTTGCAGAAAATTGCGAGGTAAAAATTCCATTATGAGTTCTCCGCCCGATTTGAGGTGAGTAATACAAACTTTTATGTTAAATTGATTTGTTTTGGTTTTTCGGGATGCTTAATTTCATTTGCAAACAAGGTTGACCATCCAAAAGTTTCAGTTTTGCACCCATTATTCAATACTAGCTCAATAATCATAATGTTTGCTCTAACTTTTTTTATCAAAATACATTAGGCTTACACATCTTCTTACAACTAGCTTAGCTCCTTAGCGAAGAGTGGGATGACCTTAAATCAATTACTTATGAACGAATTACGGGAAGCATTAAGCTTGACTAAGTTTACCTGGTCGATGTTATTTAAAATGCATCTAATTGAATATTTATAACCAAAAGAATTAATTTTCTAATTGCCCAATTTTACAGGTTTTGCATCATTGGAACATCAGGCCTATGTCATTGCTTAACCTAAGGTAGTTGAAATGTACATACAGTATCTTAGCTTTTAGATTTTTTTCTTCTTTGGTTGCTTAGAAATTATGTGTCATGGATTTTAATAGTATAGCAAAAATTTGCATCTCTTTGAAAGCTACGAATTTAGCTTTTGGGTTCCTTGAACTCAGAATTTATATATGTAACATTTCAAGACTTATGTTCGTATGAAATTGTAATTCCTCATCCGTCATTACATTTTTTGACAAGGATTTTAGTTCATAAAACAATAAACTACATAAATTTGTAAAAGTCTACTTTTTTAGATGGTAAAATCTTGGATTGCCAATTGACGATATAGTTGCAATTTGAATTTAGTCTACTTTCCGTCTACATGTGGTATGTATGTGTGCACTAAAATCTCCAAAATATAAAATTCCAGTTTCATTCTCTCCCTTAAGAACATTATTACTAAAGACATTAAAGAATATTTTCAGTTCAGAGTATGAGTGCTATATGTGTTTCTTTCATTGCTAAAAATTATGAGACATAATTCTGCAAAACTTAATTGATGACCGTATGAAAGCTATGAAACAACTCTCTGTACAATTCTTTAAATCTGGTTCAGTTTTGTCTTAGGTATGCATACAATCATTATTTGTGAGATAATTAGTTGCATGGTTAGCTTTTAGTTGTTTGTTGATAATTACATATGGTTCTTAATGAATTATATATGATTTCTAAGGTTTGAGATCAATATCAATATCCACGACTGCCACAATCGCCAATTGTACCATATGGGCATAAATTTTAGCAAAATTACCATTCATTCAACTACTACTTTTTGACTTTCTTAATTTTTTTTCCTTCACTGTGTTTTACCATAAAATAGATAACCATGCATGATAATGAATTACAAATTGTTTTTTATTTCTTATATTCAAATTTGGTTTTTATACTTTCTTCCTACTTATGACACCATTTTTCCATCCATGTTAACTAATTATTATATATTATCTATTAACTGCCACAAAAAGTTTTTTTAACACTTTATTTTACAATTTTAGGAAGGAAAAAAAAATTGCTAATTCAGCAAGGAGCTTACAGTGCTGACAAATACATTTTCAAACAATGAAGAGGCAAACATTCAAAGGTATGTAAAATTAATTAAGGGCAAATACATTTTCAAAGATTGAAGAGGCAAACATTCAAAGGTACGTAAAATTAATTAATACTTCATTAATTTTGTTTTATTAACGTTTTACGTTTAACTACAATTTTTACTAAGCTTTCTCTTCAGGGGAATTAGCTATTACTAATATATATATATAAACTATCTTTTTTTCACATGATCTAAATACATGACAAATTACCTGCTTGCATATTGAAAGGTTAAATTGAATATCCAAAAGTATAAAAGTAGACATTTGCACTAGAGATATACCATGTCCACATATTTTAATGTAATATGTTCCTTCACAGATTTACAAATATATGGACAAGATTTATCTTTAGTGGAAGGATGTTTGTTTATACTTCTGAATGTTAGCCTTAAACCTTTCACTAGACAAACAAATAATTAGCCATGTATTGACAAAAAGTTAGAAGAAGAAAGTATCTATATAAATTGGTAATAGTTAATTCCTCTGAAGAGAAAAGACGGAAATGATGATTCTTACTCCATATAATTAAACCCAAGTTTACCAATTTGCATAAATCTGATCCGTCATTTAACTTTGTTTTAAAAATTATAATATTGCCAAATAAACTGCTATTTAATCATAGCATGATTTTCAATACTTTTCTAACTCTTATATAGCACTATCACTAAATATATTTTATTCCATAAGACACCAATTTCCATTTTGTTGTAATAAATTGCAACAAACTTATCTTTTCTGAAACGTTATTCAAATTCTCATCCTTGGTATGTATTCAATTTCACTTACTCTTTATTTCTCAATACATTTATTTGTATAAATTAATATAACATTAACCACAACGAAACAACTTACAAATTATGCTCAATCTATTTTTAATAATTTTTTGTTATTGTTATTACCTACAAACTTTCTTATCCCGCAGCAACGCGCGGGCACCACTTCCTAGTTTAACCTAAAAAAAAAATATTCAACATAATCAAGAATGAACAAAATGGACAGATGAGTAAAAGGTGTCGGTAAGATAAGCAGTTCGACTTTTATATACATTCAATCAAGCTGATTACAAAAGGTATAGTTGCAAAAAAATGCTCTGTTTCCTTGAGAAACAGAAGTAACATGCATTTAACACTTATATTGCCCTTCAAGTTAAGACGGCAAAATATATGTCCTACAGGCCAGACACGTGTTTTAACAGCTAAACAAAAAAGCAAAAAAAGTGTGTTGTTCTTGTTTCAACAGCTAATCTTTCAAGCACTAATGTTCAGCAAAAAAGATGCAGGATGCCTGTTTCCATAAGTTACAGAAGAAACAGAAGGAAGATGAGGGGTTCAAACCTGTAAAAACTCACCTCTCGACAACATGACGACACACATAAAAATACATACACTAAATTATTTTTTGTATCTATACACTGATAATTTGACATTCAATACGGAAAACAAATCTATAATTCAGGCTTTAAAATACATTGTAAACTCAATTAATACAAACAAAGAAAAAGCATCAAACTAAACAATTTCATCAACCCCAGACGTGAACAGTCACACCCTAAAATGAACCAATGCAGATAAACACATTTCACCAGACTAAATCCAACAAAATCACAATCAAAACAGGCATCTCTAGAGAATTCAAATAACCAAGAGATAGGTGACATGATAAGATAAGAGTTTGGATTTCATTTACATTCAATTAAGCTGACATCAAGAGCTAGTGTACAATCAAAAGGATGAACTCCAAGCAACAGATTGTTAGCTGGGTAGAAAAAAAAACGAAACATGCACAAATTAAATTCAAATTTTCCACACCTAAATTGTAATTAAAAAAAATACACATCTTAATCACAGAAGGACTTTCAAATGCCACAATGTTTAACAACTATTGTTCTATCAATTCCTAATCTTATAAATCATTTTGTGACGGTTGGGAAAGTTTACTAAATAACAGAGAAAAAAGAGTAAACATAATCAATCTTTGGGTTTGAAATAGAATCAGAGTTGAGCTTATGTACCAATATGAAAGTTTTGAGGAACAATGGAAAGATAGCTGAGGTCCTGGTGGTAGCGGTGGCTGAAACTTGGAAGGGATCTGGTTTAATCTTATTTGCAGTGAAGCGGTGAGCGACATAAAAGGTGGAGGAAACTGGCGATCCCACTCATCAAAATGAGAAATTTCATAAATGCATTGTGCTGCAGAGAAAATAAAGAAGAGATTGCACAATAAATACATGAAAACCAGTAAAATCATAAATTAAGAAAACCAAACGATCAAGGATAAAATTTAGAAACCCTACCACACAAAATCGCAAGAACATAAAAATTACCAATAAAAGTTAGCAAAATACACACACGGTGCGACAATAAACGTCTTAACGCCAATGATGGCCTCAAACCCAAATAAAATCCCAAATCAGTTAAAAAAATAGTGAAAATGAACTGAACCCATTCCTCTATCATATTCTTTTCCTCTGTTTCCCTATCCCTAATCCCAAATCTCTTTTCCATGCTTTCTCCACCCTTTTTCCCTCACCCTCAATCCCATTTTCTTCCAAGTCTATAATCAAAACCACATGCATAAACACGCTAGAAATTTGCCAAAACCCACAACATAGCCTAACTAAAAATCTCACCGATTAAAACTTTCACAAAAAAAAACACACTATCTCTCTGATCAAACGAAAACTCCAAACCAATTCAATGGTTGATTAACAACCCATAACAGAATCTTATTTAAAATTGAATCCAGAAAAATTAAAAGCTTCTTACATTTAAATTGTGAAGAAAACACCATACCAAATCAAGCATTAATGTATTGTTTCATACTGACAATCTTGGAAATTCATATACCATGTTCACTTTGCTTGATTTGTTTGATCAGAGAAATTACTTTCTAAAAACAATCTTGACAAATGATAATCTTGATTTGCTTGATTGTCCAACAACAATCTTGGAATATGTATCGTTCAATGTATGTCTTTAGAATCGAATGACAATCTTGGAAATTTATACTGACAAAGTGAACATGGAAATTCATATACAATTTGACAATACCAAATCAAGCGATATCTAAAGACCAAAAACAGATCCTACAAAGCAGAAACCCTATCTCATATGCATTAAAATGATTGACTAATTCTTGGTGAATCATCATAAAATTAACCCAATTTCTCAATTCCAAAAACATGAAAGTTTAAGAAAGGGTTCTGAGTTCTCACCATAACGAAAATAATCATATCGTTTCAGTTTGAACTCGGGGTCAATTTCTATCATCTGCATTAACAAAAACAATAACTTATGTCAGTGCATTCAAACCAAACCCATAAATCAATTCCTAAAATCAACTGCAAATCACAAAGTTACCCAAAGAAAATCCAGCAAAGAACCAAAATACCTGAAAATTACTATATTAGCACTCCCTCCACCCCAAAATCAGAAAATTTGAAATTAGAGTTTGATAACATTGTACATAGAAAGTAAGGAATCGATAATTTAGGTGGTTTCCCAGGACAATAATGAGCTTGCAGAGATCATGTTCATACATGGATGCACAAATACACAGAAACTATAGAGACCGTTTGATGAAAAAAAAAATAGAGATGCTCAGAGATTCAACACACACTATACATAGATCCATGGCTTAGAATTTCTCAGATCCGGTTGAAATTAATAAAAAAAAAATTAAGGATGTGAATTTATACCTCTGACAGTCTCAGCTCCGTTCCCCTGATTCCTTCGCTGGCTTGGTGCAAACCTGAGGAGATCGACGATTAGGGATAAGAAACTTGGCGGCCGTGGTTTAGTTTTTTGAGAGAGAATTCAAGAGAAAAGAAAAAGGAGAAGAAGAAGGGGATGCCCCTTCCCTTCTGAGATCGTCAATAACATCTGAAGTACTTAACACCCATACACTATATTTACACACATAAACTAGTCAGCACTCATAACATGTCAATGGTCCAATGATTATGGAGCTCAAAATTTATATAAGAAAGGGCCAATCAAATCATAAATTAAAATGAAAACATGTAAGTAATTAAGAATTATTACTTGCTTAGTCAGTTCCTTCTTGTCACTTCAAGGATTATTCAATTCAACCGATTTGATCAAACTGCATCACCCAACAAAACAAAATATAAATGAATTAAAAAGAAAATTAGGGGAACTAAATTAAATATAAACTGACTGACTTTTCGGCTAGAAAACCCAAAAAGAGCAATTAAATAGCAGCGCATAATGACGGAAGTTCTATGAAAAAATATGAATGAGTATTCAATTAATAATTGAGGCCGAAATAAAGAAGGCCTTTCTCACCTTTGATGCAAGGCGGACAACAAATTCATTATGGATTAATGTATAATATCTAAGATCCTTTTTTTTTTTTATTGACTGATGCTTCAACATCATCCACCTAATTCATATCACACATCCATACATAGCTGAGAACGCTTATTCCCACCACCATTGCATTGTTACTTTAGTATGTTTTTTCACTAAGAAGAAAAGGAAAGAGCATCACGAAAAATTTAGTTCCAATATAGCCGAGAACAATTATAATAGCAAAGATAAAAAAAGGCACTATCAAAGAAATCAAAGGTTGTTTTAATAGAAAGGAAAAAAGCAGTAATGAGAAAAATTCACATGTTATTACCTTAAACTGGAGTTAAAATTACTCACCCTTTTTTTTTCATTGCACCAAGACAAAAATAAAGAAAGACTTCTAATCCCATAAATAGCAAATACTCTACTATCCTAAATTCCTAATCCCACTTGACTTCGCTGCCTCACACCTTTGTCCCCTGTCTCCCATTAACTAAAAACACTCCCAAATTACACCAGCCAACCATACAAAGCCACTGGCCACATCAAATATTAGGCACGATTCAGGTAACCAAATTCAAAGAATAGAGTTCAGATAACAAAATGCAAAGAACAAAATACATATAGTAAAATTCAAGAACATGATTAAGAGGATTTGAACTATATTGTGTTGAAAACTTACCGAAGAGCGACGATTCCAGGGCGGTAGCAGTCAGGCTTCTTGACTTCTAGTTGTGGGTGCTGATTTTATTGAAGCCTCAAAATTAAAACAATTAGCAACTCAGATCCAATAATCTGATTGTTTCTCGGAAAAAATAGCTTGCAATAAAGATTTTGCAGCACTAATTAAGAAAGAATTAAATCCAGGTATGAAAAATTGAATGAATCAATTACATTAGATATCATATATTGTCAGCAACAATAATTAACCGATTCAAATGTATCTAGCTAGTATAGATTGAATAGCCACTTCAATTGGGAAAGAGAAGATGCAAAATCGAGCAGCCACTTGGATGATCAATGGATTATTCCATCTAGAAAATGATAAATGTATACATATAGAGAGGCAGAGAGAAGAGAGGGAAGCATTATTACCATTTGGCGGCATTGATAGGTGCAGAGCAATTGATTCTTGTTTGATCCTCCATGTCTTCTCTATGCCTTCAGTCTCCAAATAGCCTCCCTCACTTGGTAGAAGCCACTGATAATTCTGATAAAAAACAAAACAAACATTCAAATCAATTGTTATCAGTATTACATGAACTAAAAGAACAGAAGAAGCAAGATTTCATGTAGAAGATCGCTTGTATAAACTAAATCCAGTAAATTAGAGAAAAATGTAATACAACAGTACACGACTGGAAAAGAGAGAGTACAAAATCCAGTCTACTGCTTAAGCATGACTCTATGTAAGATTCTTTTTCCTTCCATTAAAGTTTGAACAGACCAACATATCACATTATGGAAAACAAATCACCTTCTCAGCCTTGGCAGCAGCTTGTGCAGATTTTCCATACAATTCTTCTCTAACAGCAAGTTCACCCTTCAATTTCTTATCTTTCAAGCCCTGAAAACACAAAATCCAAGATGCAGTAACAAATAAACATGTATACGTTTCATGAAAACTCAAAATTTCTAGGCCATACCTCCAAATTTGCTTCTGCTCCTCTAAGAAACTTCTTCGCTCTCTTATCTAACTCATCAGAAATCTTCTCCTGCAAATTAAGGTACTGCCCATTTTATTTTCTCATTCCCTTTTTAAGAAAATTATGTGCATGTAAAAGCCTAAAGTTCAGCTCTCACGTTGGTGAGTTAAATAGTGCAATGTATAAAAGGTGAGAGCTTAATTCAGAGCTATCATAACTAAAATACCAAAATATCATGCAATCCGACTAAACATGTAAAGCAACCATCAAAGAATTGAAAATTTACTAATAAAATGAACCAAAGACCAATTTTGAATAATCAGGAACGATGACGTTTTAACATTGACATAGTGTGTTTGTGTGTGAGAGAGATGCAAATAGAGTTGGAGTTCGACAAATGCAGAAATCAACCTTAAGATTCCCTCTGGTTCAAATGGTGCAAGCACCATTGAGGAGAATTAGACGGCAGAGGTCGATAGTCCGAAGAATTAAAAGTTGAAGCTTCTACTTTCCAACTCGGGAAGAAATAACTGTGAAAATGCACAAAATAAAAGGCTTGATTTCCAAACCATTAAAAGGAAATTAAGAAATTAATTTATATATTTAATTTGGGTGAGGGATTTGAACAGAAAACCCATTTGTTCCATCTCCAGATTCATGCTTTTTTTCCAAACCATTAAAGAACGAAAAGAAATGGTGCGCAATTTACTCAAACCCACAAAATTAAAATTAATTACACCATAATCAGGCAAAAGATTCAAAATTCACAATGTAAAAAACCCAAATTAAACATAAAATTCAAAATGAACGACGCAACAACCCGAACCTAGATATGAACATTTCAGCAAAACCTAAACCCTAGACAGGCACAAATGTTCATTTCTTCATAGAAAATTTACAAAAATTTAAAGAATGACAACCCCATCAAAACAAAATCCAAACATATCCAAAATTAGCAAGATAGACACAAATCCAAAAGCAAATCAGCCTCTCACACTAAGTAAACACGGTAGCAGCCATTTAATCATTTTTTATTAAATTATTATTTTTGGTAAACCCACTCAGCCTCCAGAGTCTAGATTAAGGCTTGAAGCACAACTTTGAAAAATCGAGACTACCTACAACTGAAAATAAATCAAGAATGTAGAAAAAAATGAAAATTTCATACTGAATGAAAGAAGCATCCTTCAAGTGATAATAGGTATGCTGGTTTTCCTTCACCATTTTCTTCTAACACCCTTATCACACAAATACAGAAGCAACAAAACATGGAGAAACAACCTAGCAACAGAAAGATACTCAAAGGATGTAAAGCAAAAAATGAACCTCAATTCGATTTGTTGAGAAGGAAACAGCAGCAAAGCATGAAGAAACACAGAAATGCACACAGTGCAACCCTCTAATTTAAAAAGACACAAACCTGACTATAACAGTGTACGAAACAGTGCACTAAACAGACCTATCTTCCTAACACCCAACTAAACAGGCTATAAACATCCATTACAATTTTATTGACACAAAAAAAAATGTCAATCACAGTTTTACAAACAAAGCAAATGGAAAACCAAACAATAAACAATGATTTTTGAACAGTGTTTTACCTGTTGAATCAGAGAACAAAACTAAAAACCCTCTCCTCTCCCATACCTCCCTCATAGATCCTCTGCTCAGCAACCCCGTGGGGTAACCCGTTAACCCCAAAAAACGCAGGGCATGCTCTCTGCCCTCTCTCTCTCCCTGCCCATCCGTCCCTCAAGGAGGGTCAGGTAGAGGAGAGGGGAGGCGGAATCGAAGATCAGTAAATCCAAAACCTGCAGTCTCATCAAGAAAAAAAAATCACTAAAAAGAAAAAGGTAGATATATATCACCAGGAAACAAAAACAAAAGGCAAGCATTAGCCAAAATTTGTAAATCAAACACAGAAGTGTCAACTCATTCTCCTCTGTTAGTCTGTTATCACCTCACATGTCACACTTTTTGAGATTGGATCAATTCGATCACAACCAAACTACCAGTATTAAATTTAACTAACTAACGATCAAATGATTTAAACATTGTGTATTACAAATTCAAATCAATGGTGGTAATAAATAAGATAATTTCAGCTACCATTTGTGATTAAAAACGAACAATGCTTACTCCCAAGGAATATCTGACAATTTGGGTCTACTTCTGAATTTCGTCCTCATTAAACTGTTTACTTACCTGGTTTTAGAAGTCTTTACGTATCAATCTATTTTTTTTAGAATGAAGTTAGAAGATGTTCTAGCACCAGAGACTATTAGAAGTTGGTAAGATATGCCGATACAGCGGTTTGAGAACAGTTTGGGAAACTTTGGGTAGAAAATATGCTCGCAAGGAAAACCGACAATGGGTGAGTATCACTCTCAAAGCTAGTTTATGTTTAAATTAGTGAATTACCATAATCTTTACTGGTCGGTTTTCACTTTTGGCCTACTTCCGTGTGTAAATGCTGAATGTATTACTCATTTTGCTTGATCCTAGGCAACTCTTACACCCTTACTACATTGTCACCTTTCTGATTTTTGAAGAACGAAGACTCTCAAAATTTATAGAAATACGAAAATGAGAAAATGATACATCTTTCTCAACCAATATGCTATAAATGTTCACCACCAGTATATAATAAATAAAAAAACAAAATGCTAACTTCATCACATAGCACAAACTTTAAACGCATCACCTTCCGAAATTAAATTAAGAATTCATATGGCACTCATTGAGAAATTGAGACAAACTGAAGTTGTATATTGTAAAATGCAACTGCTTTTAGAATTCCTAAGTCACGTCAGTTAGCAAGAAACCCATTCTAACTCAAGTTGTACAGTGTAATAATGCAACCACAAAAAGACCAAACTTCTGCTGCTAAAAAGCTTTTACAAAATAATAAAACCCTTAACAGTTTGAACCCTACCAGAAAGTTTACATGAGTTGAAGAACAGCTGCACTTAAGTGCAGCAAGATCATAACCTCTTACAGCTTCTCTTTCGCGTCAGAACCACATGCAGTCCAAATTAAGAAAGATTCAATGGCAAATCAAGAACAAATAAATAATAATTTAAACTAAAATCGCTAATTATTGTTGCAGAGAGAATTCATATCAAGATTAACTACATTATTTAATTCGAATGGAATCAAAAAGCAGGATAAATATGAAGGGTAAATAAATTAATAGCAAAAGTCACATTTCAGTAGCAATCAATAGTAGAAATCAGAGTTGAGTAGCAGGGACCAAAACAATTTCAGTAAAAAGATCAGAATGTCAACAAATGTAAGTAAATTTATGAAGCCTATAAGATTTTGAAGCGAGGAAAAATGCCGTAAAAGCAAAAGAAAAAAACATGAAATTATCCTATGTTACCAATATTGATGAAACCATCACAGGTGAAGAAAGAGGCAAATAAAGCTTAACAAAATAAATGAAGCAATCAGTATGGGAAAATTTGATGGGTTTTGACACCATTCCTCCAAAGCCTCAGTGGTGGTAGTTTCACTTAGCACGCCAACAAAATTTCAAACAGCATTCTTGTTCTAGTACCAGATCAAACACAATTATTCACGAAAAAATATGTAACTTATTTAATAAGGTATACAAAGGAACTTATCACAGGTCAAGTACTTTTACAAACTTTGAAAAATATAAATCCCAAGTATAAATCATGTCAAAAATATCAAAACATTTACGAAATTTTTATCTTTCCATTCCAAAGACAGACCAAATTGAGGACAGAATAAAAGATAGACCTCCTCAAGCACACAACAAATTTGAAATAATACTTTTGTAAGACAAACCAGTATAGATAAACATTGAACAATAGTTTAGAGCCCAGCCTCTGCCTTTAACAGTTTGTCAATTTGTAACTAAATTGAATCTCATCATACTCTCATTTACTTTTTCAGGATGCTCAAAATGCTATCAATGACTTAACTGGTAAGGATGATGTTTTTCCTATCTAAACTTTGTTTTTCGACAGCTTCTCAAAAACGAAATCATTACCAAGATTCAGTTTAATTAGTTTTCTCATCATATCCAAATTTTATGTAGTTTATATAATATCCATAAATAATTCATAACAAAAGGGCAGAAATGATAACAATCTATGCTAACAGTAGAGAAGCGAATTAAAAATTGAACTTAGCTAAAAAACACATACCTTTCAAGGATCGGAGCCTCAGAAAAATTTATGAAGTTCACGCAAATATTTTTAGGTCTCAATGCACCTATACTGCAAACCAACGAAAATGCAAATGCATTAATACAATTGCCAATACCAATTTCTAAGATTTTAGCATTATCTTTACCCTTGCAACTGAAAACCAAAAATCCCAGAAAAATGAGCAAGAAGCTTAAGCAGAAAAAAAACATATTTTAAACCACCAAAACCCAATACCCATTTAACCTGAGATTTTAGTGTTCTCTTTACCCTTGCAACCAAAAACCAAAAATCCCAGGAAAATGAGCAAGAAGCTTAAGCAGAAAAAAAACATATTTTAAACCACCAAAACCCAATACCCATTTAACCTGAGATTTTAGTGTTCTCTTTACCCTTGCAACCAAAAACCAAAAATCCCAGGAAAATGAGCAAGAAGCTTAAGCAGAAAAAAAACATATTTTCAACCACCAAAACCCAATACCCATTTAATCATTCACGAATGAAAAATCTAAAAGATCAACAAACTGAAAACCCCCCAAAAAAAAGCCACAAAAAAAGAAGAAGAAAACTGACCTTAAAACAGAAGACAATGCACAGAACAGAGAGATGCATCCCCAAAATGAGAGAAAATGAGAGAAAACGAAACAAAGGAACCCCCAAAACCTAACCCAACAGTTCACATCTATGCTAACAGCAAAGATTGGAATAAAAAATGGAACTTAGCTTTCGAAATCTAGCCATTGATCCGACATGCAAAAGGGAATGGACGATCCAGAGTGATTCATGAACTGAGGGGACCTTACTCGGCTCTGTTCACCATCCAACCCCTCCCTCTCTCTTTCTCTCACTGTCTCCCTTCCACTCACCCATGCCAGGATCCCCATCCCTCTCTCTCTCGCTCTGTCTCTCTCTCTCTCCCTCTCTATCGGAGGCATGGCTTCCCATCCCCGAAACTCACTGAATGACAGCAAACGTAAACCCACCCCAATCCGTCTCAAACAAACAGGACAAAATTGCCCTTCCAACCCAGCCCCAATATCAACCCAAACCTGACGGCTTTGTTGTAAATAGTGTGAAATCAAGTGGCTCCCTGATAAGCCATATGGACAAAATTACCCTCTGAAATTTTGAGAATTACCCTCCCAACCCACTCCTATTCGGCTGGTATTGTTGTAAATAAAGCAAAATCAAAACAAACGTGAATAGTGCATGCCCTCCCCCTACTTTAGTATAGACTAGTAAAAATGCCCGCGCGTTGCTGCGGGAGTTGAATGCACGAATCTTAAGTACACGGATTAGACACATGCAACTTGAAAAAAAAAAATTAACAAAATCATGAACAAATAAAAAGGATAGATGAGTGAAAGGTGAAAAAGTAGGTTGTTTTTGTTTTGGCAGCTTATCTTTCAAGCATATATGTTCAAAGCAACAAAGATGTAATGTGCTTGTTTCCATAAGTTAGGGAAGGAAGATACAGTCCACATATTTTGCCTCTACAGTTTTGGTGACAAAATACATGCTCTGCAATCTAGGCACTTGTTTAAGTAGTTACAAAAAAGAAACTCAAATGTTCAAAGGAATAAAGATGCAGCATGCCTATTTCCATTAGTTACAAAAGGAAGATGCAGTCCACACATATTTTGCCCCTATAGTTAAGGTGACAAAATACATACCCTGCAGCCTAGGCACCTGTTTAAGCAGTTACAAAAAACCCAAAAAAATGTTATGTTGTTGTTTCCACAACTAAGTTTTCAGCTGCACATGTTTTAAAGGCAAAAAACTGTAGAGCAACTTTGTAGCAATTCATAACGAAGACTATAGTCATTCATTTTTTTGGTGGCCGAACATCTTCAGTACTATAAGAAAAAACACGAATCATAGTTTAGTAAACATTGATATAACAGATGTTATGCAGGTGTGCATGTGAAAAATAAATTGTAATTTACCTATCCTTGGTTTTTTTGGCTTGAGACTTTGTTTTGAGTGCAGCTATCGGTTCTTTATCGGCAGGCTCAATCTTAGGGACAACCAGTTTATGGAATTCTCTGGCAATTCTAGCAGAATTGGTTGTCTCTGTTTGCCCGGTGCGAGTTTTTTTGCTGTGAATGAAGGTACAATTTATAAGGTCAGAGAGAATTGTGATAGGTATGCAAAAAAATGTTAAAGACTGGAGCAAAAAGATTGGCTAACGGTTTTTTATCAACAGCATAACACATATGTACACCCAAAATAAGCAAGCATATTTATGAAGATTTATACATAAGATGATAACTGAGAGGAAAACTTAACCTGTCTGGTTTGTCTGCTTGATCAATGAACAATGCCCTCTTTGAAGTTTTGGGAGATGCAACCGATTGGGGATGGCGATCTGATTGCAGGGAAGGCATCACTGGGGCGGGAGTCGCTTCACTTATAATTTGTTTTCCTGTAGTGGCAGGAGGCGTTTGCGGGTCAATTGAGGCAGTCGCTGGGTTTAAGGGCAGCTGATCTTGAAGCAATCCATAAATGATAAAGTCCGTCTTCCGAAAATCACTGTTTTGATTGCCAAAAGATAGCAAAAATCTTTTTGTCTCTCCCACCAATTTTTTTAGAGGCGGTGGCACGATAAAGGGATCGTCATATCCATCTTCTATTACCATAGTGTGGCAAGAAACATGAAGTATCTTTTCAGCATGCCTTCCTAACATGAGGAAGTTGTGTTGATTTGTGCTATCTTCCACTATAATATTGATTTTGAACCTAAGGAAGAGTTGGATATTTTCATGTTAGGCAGTTATCACTACCATTCTTGAAGTAAAATAGCACATGAACCATATGTTTGCGTATTAGAAAAGTAGCCACAATGAGCACATCATTGCAGTTAAGATGCAACTTTCTCATTCATTTATCAATAATCTAATACCTTTCTGACTAATTACCCTATCTAACCAATTAGTTGTGATCCAAATACAAAGACGTTTTGTTTACAAAAACAACTTTGAACGAAAGTCCATGAGCATTCCAAAACTTTGGTCAACAAAAGACACTTCCATTCATATGTATATTAGAGGCAAAAAAAGCCAGCTTTTTAACACATGGATACCAATCTCTTTATTAAGTGCAAAGACATATGTAAAGGAAGCTTTGTCATGCATTAAATCTTCTTGTTGTGAAAAAGATGATAACCATAAAAACATCATCAATCATAAATTTTATAATTGCAAGAAATTTAAAAATGACTAAGTAGCTTAATACAACAGTTATATGTAAAAGAGGTGTAAAAGAGATTACCATGGTTCAGGTAACCTGTTTAATAAACCATGTTCATTGCACTGAAATGATCCGGAAGTTTTTTTTACAGCTTTATGGCAGAATGGGCACGACTTGTACCACCAACCTCTAGTCAAATCAAATACAACGACAGTCGCTTTGCATGCAAAACTTGCATTCTGTTATGGAATCACACAATTTTAAATAATGAAATACATTTACTCATCGTCTTGTAAACATGAAATATAAATGAATAAAGTAGAAAGCAAGAGATAGCCAAGAAAGAAGTGCTAAAATTTATTATTAAAAAGATGTGATTTTTCTTAATAAGTAGGTGATGAGAGACTAACTTTGTGTAAAGCAGGATCAAGTAGAAGGAGCTCATCAATTGTTTTGGACTCAAAATTAGGACCAACAGCACGGTCTGCATACATTACAGCTGAGGTGAGCAAGATTTGAACAGGTGATCTCAGATCCTTAAACCTGTGTCATGTATGTTTAGGTTGAAAAAGACAAATTGAAGAAATATAAACAACAAAGTTATTAAAGGAAGGTTGTCAATTTACTTTTGTTTGTATTGGGTGAGCTGCGGAATCTCTGGATTGAAAATATAAACAGTTGATCCAGTGTTTCCAAGAACAGGGTTTCCTATATATAAAACATAAGAATGAACAATTGAAGGTTTAAGCAGCTAAATAAAGGATGTTGAGGTACAACCTTGGTATTCTTTGACATTGAGGCTTGTTACAACAACGAAGATAGGTGGTGGAAGGGATTTTATTCCACTGTCCTCAAAAGTTGTTGCAGCTTCTCCCCATAAGGTGATCCTAATCGTTTCGCCCCTGTAAGTTAAAAAAAATGTGATGTTTTATGTCATAAATATGACGTTTTATGTGCGTAATTTGAACTTAACGCATAGGAATGACCTGATATCTTGCAAGTTAAGATTCTTCTTCTTCGCAATTCTTGACTTTTGGACAGTCACGTCTTCAATCGGCTGCACAGCCGTTAAATAACCAAACACATCTGCGAACAATATTTAGCGGTGAAAATTATTGCACACCAAAGGCAATGAATAAATTATAATGATGATTTTAGATGTTAGTGCAACACGCAAAACCAAATTTGTTACCTGTAAGCTCAACATCGTTGTTGATTCTCTTATGAAGTTGATCAAGGTCAATCAAATTGAACCATTGCTTTGGGATCTCCTGGTTTGTTTTGTCAATTGGAACGAATGTGGTTCTCCTATTTAATTCAAGCGCTGCAGGATGAGGGACAACTTTGCTCGATGTCCTGTTGTGAACAACACGAACTTTAGTGATCTCGTATGCATCGCCGACTCTCAGAAGGTCCAAAAAAAATTGAATGTCTCGAGCATTCACAGTTGCGTGAACTGCATCCCCCTGTTAGAAGGAGAAAATTAAAATAATATAGATTATTAAATGTGCAGGAGAACATTTAACACATGCGGTTTAAGAAGCTAAAAAACAGTGAGGATAGCATAATTCTTGCCACAGAGGCAGCATTTAAGATAAAATACACCATAACAGTAAAGATTACTTTATGAATCGAAATGATAGCAATTGAAGCAAACTTATAAATAAAGTTTGAATTATATTTTTGTGGGTAAAAGAAAAGAAACAAAACAAATTAAGAAAAAGAAGAATTGATGGACTCTACTTAGTTTTGTTTACATATGTAAAAAAAAATTGTTTGAGCAGAATTAAATATAATCTCTATAGTGAAATGCAAAGAGAGCAAAAGTGTCAACAACAGAGTCTAAAATTTGTTTTTCTAAGAACAAAATTTATTGTATCACATGGCATTATATGGAGAAGATGGAATTTTGATTTCTTTTGGATTTGCATGAATGTAGTGGCCCGGTTTAAAAATTGATATCAAGGCCCATGATTGAATCCAATAGAACAATTAACCACACAAACATTAATCATGTGGAAGTGATGTATAATTCGGCAACAAATTGCATAGAGCAATTAGTTCCCAAACTTTAGAGAATGTTTGACCACAAAATTTGTTGTACCAAGAACACAACATGCACACTTGGATACATAAAAAACGTAAGCATCTTACGATAACGAAAAAGATGAAAAATTCTCACCTGTTTATCAACAAACACATAATCAAGACTCTGTGGCTGAGGATCATCTTCGATGGTTTTTGTGATCCACATCCTGTAAACCCTGATTTGGAGCTTGTTTGCTGGCTGGTATGGTCTTAGAGAATGAAGCGACATTATCTCCATGAATCTAGATAGAAAAAAATTGAGAAGCAAATTAAATTGAAAACTTAATAAGCTGATTTATCAAAGTAACGGCGGAGTCATGTTTAGAAAAATAAACAAAATGACAAAATAAAAATGCAAATTTATATCTTCATGTAAATGTTTTAGAACATCTTTATGACCTATGTTTTTTGTATAACCGTAAGGCATGTCGGAATCATGAGTAATATATGGGGAAGATAATTTTTTTCAACTTTTCTTTAGTTAATCCGTCCCTTTTTTTTTAATTATAAATGGTTTTCAGTTTTACATATTTTCTTACATATGCTTCAGTCCTTGAAAGGTGGCTTCTTGCTTGTTTAATACTAAAAAACAAAATTACACAAAACACATTGAATCTAAACCTTGACTGTCTTTAATGGACATCTAACTACCAAATTGAGCTAAGAGGATGCAAAAAATGGCGATCTTATTCTTACCCATGGAAGTTCTCCCACTACTTTTCTTACCTATCAATTCAGTTATGTTCACAACTCTAAGTTCAGTTGCTACAGTACCCCTGCTCCTCCGGTTATAAAAATAACCTTATAAACAATATTAAGCAACTCTATTTAAGAATCTAAAAACAGCCCAAACTAACTACACAGACAGGACATACACTCAAACATGGAGACATGCAACACAAAATCTGTAATTAGATACCAATCACAAAATGGCAAAACAAAATTCCTAATCTAACTATCCCTGTACTAACAGCCCATCCAAGCAAATACAATTGTAATGGGGTTTAGAACAAATATACCAATCATCGAATTCGAATGGTGTTTGGAACAAATACAACAACCATTCAATTGGAACGGGTTTGGTACAAATACATGCTCAATTATCTCAAGCTTTCATAAATAGAGACATACAGACATATGCACAAAATAGAAAGAAGCCAAGTTCCATTCTAAGCTCAAACGACCAAATGGATGCATAGTTATCTCAACCTTGACATAAACGGTCAGATACATATATGCAAACTAAATAGAAAGAAACTTAGTTCCAACATAAGCTCAAACGACAAAAATTGAATTGTATATTTAAATTCCAAACATGAAAGCTTCACAAATATAAATAAAAAAAGGTAGATAGCTTATTAGCTTTGAATAAAAGCAATGGCGTATAATTGTATACCTCAAAACGGTATAGAACCAACTTCTTCCTCCAACGATCCAAATTTATGAAATCTGCAAACAAAGTAAATCCGTTAGCAACTCAGATACTTTCAAATTTAAAGACCAAATCTAATGAAATTTTAGCCAAATGACCAAAAAGACATACCAAAAAAAAAAATTTACAAATATTTTGAATCCAATAGAACTAATTTGGTTCAACGAAGAATACCAAAGGTTAAGGCCTAAGTGAAATGTTGAGTAAACTGCAAGAGGCCTCGGCCAACGCTATAATGAACTGGAAATTGATAGGAAGATTAACTTTTATTATGTTTCTTTCCTCATGTAAAGGAAACAGGATCACTAAGTCAAGCTCTTTATCTTCTTCCACTACTCTTAACGTTTTCAAATAAGCAGGAGAATAGTAGCAAATGGATATGAGTTAACATGGTAAGCATGTCAGCAACTTTCATTCATGTTAGTATAAGTCTTACAGAGTTATAATAATTCAGTCATGAGGTTCGAATCATTAGCATTTCAATTATAAGGAATCATAATTTCAATTTTAAGATAGTATTAACTGTTTAGAAAATTAGAAGCAGCTGATGGCATAGCATAGCGGCTTCAAGTATGCTAAAGTTGGACATAATCTCGGCAAAGAAATATTGCTTAGTAGAAATAAATAGAGTAGATAATTTCTCTGTGCTGAATTCCCAAGTGCTATTAAACCCTCAATGATCAGAAGAGAGCAAATGGTGAAAAAGAAACTGAATAACAAAAAACAATGATGCATTTGAACACATAGAGAAGAAACTTGTTCCAAAATTATACTACCTAGCAACAGAGGAGCAAAACAATAAATAAAACAGGCTTCTAACACCCTTATCACACAAATACAGAAGCAACAAAACGTGGAGAAACAACCTAGCAACAGAGGGATATTCAAAGGATGTAGAGCAGAAAAGGAACCTCAATTTGACTTGCTGAGAAGGAAACAGCAGCAAAGCATGAAGAAAACAGAAATGAGAACAGTACAACACCCTAAGTTTAAAAGACACAAACCTGACTCTAACAATGTACGAAACAGTTCACTGAACAGACCTATGTTCCTAACACCTAACTAAGCAGGCTATAAACATCCATTGCAATTTTATTGAAACAAAAAAAATGTCAATCACAGTTTTAACAAAGCAAATGGGAAACAAACAACAAACAATGATTTCTCAACAGTGTTTTACCTGTTGAATCAGAGTAGAAAACTGAAAACCCTCTCCTCTCCCATACTTTCCTCAGACCTCCTCTGCTCACCAACCGCGTGGGGGTAACCCGTTAAGCCCAAAAAACGCATAGCATGCTCTCTGCCCTCTTTCTGGCGCTGAGATCCCCACTCCTCCCTCTCCCTATCTCTCTCGCTCTGTCTCTCTCTGTCTCTTTCTATCGTAGGCATGGTCTCCCATCCCCAAAAAGCACACTAAATGACAGGAAACGTAAACCCACCCCAATCCGTCTCAAATAAACAGGACAAAATTGCCCTTCTAACCCAACCCCAATATGTTGAGCCGAAATAGGAGTAGAGGAAGGAGCCGGTTTTCAAAGAAGTCAATCTTCAATGTTAAGGAGGTCAACATCAGATCTGCTATTGTTCTTCTTCTGATTTTTGTGGGTGACATTGCTTTCTCTAGTATTGTTTGTTTTATTTGTATTTTTTTAGTTATATTTAATTTATATTCATATTGGGAGGTATTTTTAAGGTTTAATAGAATAGATGAGTGGATAAGGTTTCTCAACTTTTAAATTGTTTTGTTATCAACGTGCAGCACTCGTGCTCACAAAGTCCTAAACTAATCTTATTAAATGAAGTAGTTGGCAGACCACTTACAAAATAATGGACTCAAGGAATAAAAAAAGAAATTGGTCCATTTCCCATTGTCCTAACCCGTCTCCCCCTAATTGTAGGAGAATTAAAATTTATTTGCTTGTGCTTTGCTGACAGCAGATTTGCTGTCCCCAAAAGTATGTCTCAATTGTGTCTCCTTGTTAATATGTTTGACACATATCTTTTAACTTAACTTAAAAGTTAATTTTGTTTTGGTTTTGGTGTAGTACAGCACTTCAAGTTCAAGTTTGTTTTAAAAAACTGCTGAGAATTTTTTCCATGATATTTTATATTTCCCCTTCGTTGTTTGTAGTAATGCTTAATTTTGTCATAACTCCACCCTGAACCTAAAACGCAATGTGGTTCCATGAGACAAAGCATGTAATAGCATCAGAAACTTACCAGTTAACCATATAATAATCTAATGCGATCCTAAGATGATGTAGTCATGGACAAAGCATGTAATAGTATCAGAAACTTACCAGTTGCTTCTAAGTTTTGGTCTCCCATTGTATAGGAAGATAAATTTGGCTGCTTTCTTTTCTAAGCATGGTCTTTTATAAGTGTCATTTGATTGAGGGAGATGCATATGATTTTATTTAAATCTAATCAATGGAGATGCTTCCTATAAATTTGCTTTCTACATGGCTTTAATCACCTGAAGCCGATAAAAATGTTTAATAGAGACAAAGGCATGTATTTATTGTGCTATAAATAGCCTGTAGTTTGTCATTTGGGAGAGTTTTTTTTTTGGAAAATGTTTGATAAAGAAAATAACCTTACAAACAATATTAAGCAGCACTATTTAAGAATCTAAAAACAATCCAAACTAACTACACAGACAGGACAGACAACAAAACATGGAGAATTGCAACACAAAACCTGTAATTAGATCTCAATCACAAAATGGCAAAACAAAATCCCTAATCTAACTATCCCTATACTAAAAGCCCAGCCAAGCAAATACAATTCTAATGGGGTTTAGAACAAATAAACCAATCATCCAATTCGAATGGCGTTTGGAACAAATACACCAACCATTCAATTGGAATGGGGTTTGTTACAAATACATGCTAAGTTGTCTCAAGCTTTGGATAAATAGAGAGATACAGACACGTGCACAAAATAAAAAGAAGCCTAGTTCCATTCTAAGGTAAAATGACCAAATGGATGATTAGTTATCTCAACCCTGACATAAATGGACAAATATTGATACGCACACTAAATAGAAAAAAACTCAGTTCCAATATAAGCTCAAACAACAAAATTGTTCATCACATTGCATCATATAATCAAACATCCCTCCATACTTAAAAGCTTGCAGTGCCAATTATTTCATTTGACTGAAAATTACATGGGTGAATAAACCCTAAGAGCTACGGTTTAGAAGTAAAAAGTTGAAATTGTTTACCTTGAGTACAGAGAGCTTCCTACAACCAATTGTCAAGACTTGTGTTTGATCTACATACATGTCAAGAAAAAAATTAAAAATTTATCAGACAAATACATAAGGAAGCAAGAATTGCAAAAACAATCCATCAACAAAGGAGCAAAACAATAAGTAAAAAAGCCTTCTAACACCCTTCTCACGCAAATACAGAAGCAATAAAGCATGGAGAAACAATCTACCAATAAAGGGATATTCAAAGGATGTAAAGCAGAACATATCATTGTAGATGCCCCAATTACTGAAGGGATTCAATTATTTTCTGAATTCACAGAACATATCATTTTTGCTTATTTTCATTTATTTATTTTTGCTCTGCAGGTAATTTGGTTCTACCCACTGTACGTATTCAGCATAATCCTGAGCAACATCTGGTACTCACAAAATTACCCCTTTATGCTTCATTGTTTTACCTGTACATTATTTACTTGATTCGGTTTTAACTACCATAGGTTAGGTACACATCTTTATCTTGCAATGCAGGATGTTAGAAGTTCTGGACGTCACTCTGATCCTTTAGTTGTTGTATCACGATTGGAGTGACAATAGTTTTTAATATACAGTAATTTGTTTAAAGTTCTGCATGTTTTGATGTGTCTACTTTCCGATGCCTTATTCCTTTTCCATCTCTACCACGTGATTATCCAAATCTACAATTTTATTTTAACTCAAGGTACAATGACATTGTTAAGTACGGATTTTCTACAATAGGGAGGGAGATCTGCGCCAACCACATTGGATCCGGCCAGACAAAATGTACTCGTGCTCCATAAACTACAGAATCAACATGTCCCAAAGCATGCCATGGTCTATTGAAAAATGTACAGCCGTTGTCAGTCAACTATGGAGTCACAAATTAACACTGCTAGAGAGGACTATTAGAATTCCATATATATATATATAGATAAGAACCCAAACTAAAGTTAACATGAATCTTAAAACCCAACATGTTGGGGATAATTTAATACGGTGGAATCATTAAAGCTAGTAGTTAGTCTTCATTCAAGTCTTGATTTTTCACTTTCCAGTAAATTTCTTACTTGGCAATGCAAGACGCATTTGGTTCAAGGGCAGCAGATAGACTTACATGATGCGAGATGTTGTAAGCTAAATAACAGTGGAGGGAAAATGTGTTCTTTTCTTGGATAAGACTCTTAGACCAGAAAAGCTCAACCTAAGTGGTTTCATTCTTCCCACCTGCAAACACTCTGCTCAAATTTCACAGAAATCAGGTACCCCTAATTTTATTCTTTCACTTTTTCATCTTCTATTTAATCACTTGTTTTCACATGAAGATTTCATTTGATTCTTTGATAAGAAACTAAAACTCCACTGAATGAGTTCTAGTTTTACTCGAAGGGCTAGAATTACATGCACACGCATACACAAAAATGAAACAAAAATATAAGGGTCATAAGATAGAGACCTGAACTATGTACAGTATAACCAAATTTGAAAGTTCTTGCAGCAATTTACCAAAAGGAAAAAGAAAATCCAAATTATCATATCACATACGTATTACACGAAGCGCGTCTAACAATTACACCATGAGCTCCTGCCCTTCTTGCTGCATTGACCTAAAATTAAGGGGGGAAACAATATGAAATAAAGGTCAATGGGAATCAATATAAAGGTTTTGCATTAGCTAAATCATATTAGAAACAATAGCAAAGCATGAAGAAACACAGAAATGAGCACAGTGCAACCTCAATTTGACTTGTTGAGAAGAAAACAGCAGCAAAGCAAGAATAAACACAGAAATTAGCACATCAACTACATCTCTTTTCAAACGTAAAGGAAAACAATTCAATAAGTCCAAAGCTATGAGCATTCCTCTCACTCCTGTTTGTGGTGAGCTTAACACACACTGATGAATCAGTAACATCTTCCTTCAGCACCTATATCTGCCTTCACTGCCAAACCTATTCAATTTGATCTATTCTATGACAAACATCCTCTATAAATTGCATGATTGGATCATAAGAGCAGAAGCTATTACTCATTCACATTTACATGTTAACCCGTCTTAACCACTAAGATTACATATATTCAAACATATAATTGCATATCCAACACAAATTTAGGAATACAATCAAAGAACGTGAACACCAAACTTTGTACGTGGTTTGACTACTTGCCTGCACCTATGTCAACACTCAAAGTTCACTCTAAAGCACAATACTAAATCAGACTAAAGTTTTACCGTGCTAAAGCTGCAAACAGGGGACCTTGGAAATTAATATTGTTGTGGCATGTGAATTCCCAAGTGGTATTAAACCATCAACCATCATAAGATAGCTAATGATGAAAAAGAAACTGAAGAACAAAAAACAATGATGCATTTGAACACAGAGAAGAACCTTGTTTCAAAATTATACTACCTAGCAACAGAAGAGCAAAACAATAAATGAAACAGCCTTCTAACACTCTTATTATAAATAGAGAAGCAACAAAACATGGAGAAACAACCCAGCAACAGAGGGATATTCAAAGGATGAAAAGCAGAAAAGGAACCTGAATTCGACTTGTTGAGAAGGAAACAGCAACAAAGCACGAAGAAAACAGAAATGAGCATAGTGCAACACCTAAGTTTAAAAGACACAAACATGACTCTAACAGTGTACAAAACAGTGCACTAAACAGACCTATCCTCCTAACACCCAACTAAACAGGCTATAAACATCCATTACAATTTTATTGAAACAAAAAAATGTCATTCACAGTTTTAACAAAGCAAATGAGAAACAAACAATGAACAATAATTTCTGAACAGTGTTTTACCTGTTGAATCAGAGGACAAAACCGAAAACCCTCTCCTCTCCCATACCTCCCTCAGACATCCTCTGTTCACCAACCCCGTGGGGTAACCCGTTAACCCAAAAAAACACACAGCATGCTCTCTGCCCTATCTCTCTCCCTGTCCATCCGTCCCTCAAAAAGTGGGAAAACAATCTCTAAACATCACTCCCACTCATGAAATCGAGGATCTGCAGCAATGGTGCTGAGATCCCCACTCCTTCCTCTCCCTCTCTCTCTCTCGCTCCGTCTGTCTCTATCCATCTCTCAGAGGAAGCATGGCCTGCCATCCCCGAAACCTGCACTGAATGACAGCAAACCCAAACCCACCCCAATCCGTCTCAAATGCACAGGACAAAATTACCCTCCTAACTTTTAATAACTACGTTCCAACCCAGCCCCAAATCCCACGGTTTTGTAGGAAATAAAGCAAAATCGAAGGGGGAGGAATTGACCTCAAAAGACAAAATCACCATCTGAATTTTTGAGAATTACCCCCCAACCCAGCCACATTCGGCTGGCATTGTTGTAAATAAAGCAAAATCAAAACAAACGTGAATAGTGCCTGCCCTCCCCCTACCCCTACTTTAGAATAGATAATAACGAGAAAATATGCCCGCGCGTTGCTGCGGGAACCTGTTGTTTCAGGTGTAATCCGATGAATAAAACACATTTAAGTTGAATAAATTCAACACAATTATGAACAAACAGAGGGATACATGAGTGATTGAGGTCGATAAGATAAGCTGTTTTTTTTTATATACATTCAAGTGAGCTGGTATATAAACACATTGTACAATGAGTGAGAAGAAACTGAACGTCTTTGATTAGAAAGAGATGGTTTCCAAAAAAGTTATGTTTCCTTAAGAAACAGAAGAAACATTCACACATAAAATTTCAGTTACCAAATCAAAAAAAAAAAATGTGTCTCTATATGGTTTTCTTCTACACAAAAATATCCCTTAGTTAAAGCATGCCACACATCATCACATTGCTATTATATGAAGTATATTCCTCAGTGGCAATCTGACCATCGTTGTGCGTCATGTCGACTCTAAGCAACTTAATATATAAAATTTAAGCAGCCCCAAACCGTCTCCAAAGCATCTACAAACCATTAACATTATTTCCCCAATTTTATTTTCCAATTTTATCAAATGCTGCATAAACGATCACAATTTACTCTCTTACAATTTCCACCTAACTCCGAACAAACAATATTGATAAGAAAAAAAAAGTTCCTAAGCAAACAAATTCTTCTAGATGTCCAACATAACCCATATATGGGATGGCAAGCAATCGGACGTGCATTCAGACCAAGCTAAATAAATTTTACAATTTATCAAAACAGCAACTAATTCTCCCGAAGAGAACGCACACACATACCAACATATTATTCACCATATTCAAAGCTTTCATTTTCGTTCTATCTCTTTCATTATCTAAACTTATAATTATCAAAACAACAATAGAATCATAGACAAACTTTCAATCATTTATCAAAACTGAATTAATTAAACTTCTGCTCAACAGTCCGTTAATTTTAATTGCAACTCTCATTCTAAAAATTTAAGATTTTGCATTTGAATAATCAAATGCATTTACACATTACATTCCTTTTATTGGTTCTTGACACAATACATTTTAGGATTGATGTTACAATAATATCATTGCAAACATGAATCGTGATAGATATAGAAACCAAACTTGCACACAAATGTTTGACCGAATTCAGAACCACTTAATTCAACATAAAAAATTACCTCACATGCTTGCTCCCCTTCTGCTCTCGCATCGTCGGCTCCGCTTCTAAACGATTAATGAAGTCCTAAAAACAGAACAAAAAACGTTTACCAATCCAACATTTCAACACATGGTTTTGGCAGGTATAACATTTCAACATAAGCATGATATAGAAAGACAGAAATCCACATGTCACTTTGTTTTTTCAGAACCAACAAAAGGGGCAACTATAAGAGAATGTAACCAATTTTAAAGAGTAAATCAGTCTCCCAATAAAGGAGAACAATGCCGACAGTAGACCAAGAGTAAGTACAACCGGACTGCAGCAACAAAAACACAATTGACTTTCACACTACAAAAATAAATAATAAAAAAACACATACTTGCACCCAATGCATTGTTTTTTTTTCTATGCAGTATAAGAATGAAAAAGGATACCATTCCCCTGAAACCAAATTCATCCCCCAATTTCTTGCAACAAAGAGGGAGACCAACCTTGTGTTCTCGGAGAACAGTGCAACAATTAGACACAACCAGACTGATCCAAGTTCCCACTATGATAATGAAAAATTAAAATTAATAAAATAGCTCAAATCATATCACAGTATGTCACAAAGTACACCACTGGATAATCAATAAATTTAACAAAAATGGATTCAACTCACTCCAAGGTAAGCAACCTTATTAATCATTTTGTCATAGTAGTAATTGAACTTGAAATTCCCCTCTAACGTGATCAACCCTTTTTTATCCACAGTTAAAAATGGAAAAGCAAAGGATTAAGACAATCAAGACTAATGGAAATTTTGATATTGTTTTAACATTAACTCAGGTTGATTTTGTTCACCAACATTAATAAAACAAATGACTTTAACTTGGGCAAGCAAACAATTAAATTAGACGTAAGCCAAGTAACTTAGAAGTTAACCATATGAAAAAAGCAATGACAATCAAACTAACCTCTTCTTTTCATATGAAGTATAATCTGTTCTCTATTTTGCCTTTGTGAAGAATGCACTTGTCACTCCCTACACACAAAATAGCATACATTGAAAATGCCCAGTAACATTATAAGAACTATAAATATATAGTACTGTATATGTATCATATACTATATTGTATACATATTTGGACATAAGGTATAAAGATTTACTAACATAATTAAGCTTAAATTTAACAAACGAAGTATTTACAAATTGAAATCAAACGATATTATAGTTGTTCAAAAAAATTCTGACTAAATTTTACAAATAGTATTATAAATTGTTAAAAAAATAACACCATTGAAAAAAACTCACTACTCAAATATGCAATTCTATTAAAAACACATCACTAAAAATTAACTCCAAGGAAAGGGGATTAACAAATTATACCTTTTTAAGAGTTGTAATTGTTTTATCTATATGTTGAGTTGGACCCACTGGATTTGAATCCTCAGTTGACTTAGGGAGGACATGCACGAAGTCTAAGGTTAAACATATGGTAAAAATTACACTGGATCAAGGAATGATGAGAGTTGATGGATGCAATATGGAATATAAGTTTTTGGAGAGAGAGACAACCAAACTTCACACTGGATCATATTTTTTAGAGATAGAGAGAGTTCTAGTTTTCAACAGCGGAGAGAACAAATTCAATCTTGGGCATAAAAAGAAAAAATAGAAGCTTCATAGCACAATAATGAACCACAATCCTCTGTTTTCCTAAATTCATATAGAATAAAGGAATCAAAATATTCAACACAAAATCTTCACATTAGCTCAAGAACTATATTATTTCCAGAGGTTTCCAATTTCCCAGCACAGAACGACAAACATAAAAGCATTAAAAATATATAATTGCAAAAAAAAAAATAACAATTCCAAGAAACTAAATGCAAAGTTAGCCAGATCTGCACAGTAACACAAACCTATTACTTGAAATTAAGAGCATTGTGGCTCACCCTGAAAACACCCATTTTGCGATGAGGAAGAGAGGCGCCGCTGCTCTGGCTGCTGAGTGTTGCTGGCTCCAAAGCAGTTTGTCTTCCAGAACTTTATATGGGCACGTCCAACCCTTCAAAGCCACTGTAAATCGCCATGGATTTACATCATTCTGCTTGCCTAAAAAAAACAAACAAAAAAAGAAAAAAATGGGAAGTATAAAATTCAAATGACCCTTGATGAACATAACCCAGAAATTTTTCATTGTATTCCATAAATGCAATAAAACAAAAGTGAGTGTCTCCATTTTCCAAACAACCAAGCAAGCAAGCAACAAACTTCGAAAACCCTAATTCGAACCAATTTAGAACTATAACCAAGTAAACCACTTAATAAAAAAACCCACTAATTTTCTCAAAAACCTAACAAATTTAAAGGATACAGATGATAAATCCCAATAAAATCCCAAATTTGAAAACCAGAAGATAAAAAAAAAGGCAAAGAGGCTTATCTTTCTTCAGTAATCGGACACTAACAGAAAAAATCCTAATTCATATTATTTAGATTACAAATACACAGGGACCAAATAGCTAATAATGCTGGACAATTTGTCCCCAATCCAACACAAAATTGTTCTGGTTATACATACGATACCCGCCTAAAATATCAACCAATTCCAAATTAAAATGGAAAATGAAACGGAGCAACATAAATTGAATACAATTTGGGGAAATTTTGGGGAAAATTATCTCACCTGGAACTCCGAATCTCCAAGAGGTCCCGATCCGAGCAGGCTCCGAATTGGGTTGCTGAAGATGGTGATCAAGGAAGGGTTTTGGAGGTGGGTTTGATCAGATCAAAGCCGAAGCCATTATGTTTGGGGGGAGAGGAACACAGAGCCACTGTGAGAGAGAGCATGCGTTGTCCTTTTCTTCTATCCAGCCACTGGATCGTAGTTCCTTCACAAAAATTATATGATTGTGTTAGTTTTTCAAGTTCTAGTTTTGCAATCACCTAATCGATCATAACACCATTCGCAAATATGACAAACATAAACAATTAAGTCAGCAACATGATATGCCATCCCTTTCATATTGCAATTATATAAAGAAAAAATAAATGAACCAAAATAAAATTATACTATAATCCCATTATATGAAGGCCAAACTCTTGAGTTGGGGCTGGTGGCCGTTGACCACATCATCACCTCCATTTGAGAGAAAAGGGTTTGTTTGGCCCTTTTGTCCAATTATTTACACTAACCGTATATAAATGAAGAAGGACAACACCTATGTTGCTCCCTTCTTGTGATCCAAATTTGAAGATGGCCGATGGGGAGGGGCAGTTATAAGTGTAATCCTCTTTGTTTCTCCTATCCCTGCGTTGTCAACCAAAAAAAACATCAAACCAAGTGCAATACAATCCAATTTAATGATCAAAAAATTTGAGCTCCAAACAAAGTCACAGGTCAGCAATCACCTAACCGATCATAACACCATTCGCAAACATGAAAAACATAAACAATTAAGTCAGCAACATGATATGCCATCCCTTTCATATAAACACAGATTGCAATTCATATATGCCACATTATTTACAAACAATTAAAAATCAAGAAACAATTAAATCATCATCATGAATTACAGTGTAATATCAACACCATCAATTAGAAGAGACAGAACTACATGGCAATAAACATACAGAGAGGAACTGCTTCAGATACTTCCCAAAAGCAATCTTCCGCAGGATAACAAAAGAGCGGTTGATCTCTGATCGAATTGCAGACACAACCTGCAGAACCGACTTCTATGGAATTTGAACTTGTGAAATGTGGGGTGGAGACCTGAATGTAACAAATTGGTGTTAAGTGAATAATTCCAAACATTTGAAATTTAGATCATCACACCTGAACGCAAACAGAAGAATTAAACAAAGAATCGAAGGCATATGCAATCTAATTAGACAAATAAGTGAACTTTCCCATGCCAAAATCAAAAAGGCCAACAGAAATCTCTCATTACAGGACATAATACATAACTTAAAAGACAAAACTTAAAGGACAAAACTTAAAACTAACAAAAATTAGGTGAACCAATTGAAGAGAACATAACCCTTGTAACCAATCCGGAAAAGATGATTTTAAATCCCAGAAGAAAAAAAATTATGAGGAGTTTTTAAAAAAAACCATCATTTCAATTATTTTCCAGTCTTACATTTGGGAATAAACAGAAAATATAACTAAAAATGCCAACTTTCTCAAAAAACTACAACTATTTTAACAAATTTCCATCACTCAACACTGAAAAATGAGAATCACGAAGCAACGAAGAACGGAGCATGCTAGAATTGAAACATTAAAAACAACATGTACCCATTTCAAAGACCAAAAATCCTGCAAGGACAAAAAAAATCCGAGAAAATCAGTACATCAGTACTCCCTGCAAAACCCCAAAATCAGAAAATTAGAAAAAGAACCCAAATCAGTGGCATGGTCCTCGTTCCCCATGCCCTAATAGACTCTGAAACTTTTGATTCTGTCTCCGCCTAAATGCAGTTACTTATCTTATTACTTGGATTATTCTATTTCTATTGGCATCAAAATTGAAGAAACACAAAGTTAATCCCTAAAATAAACACAAAATCCAGATAAAAACAATGGGTGGTTGTGGAATCAGAAACCTTAAGGTGCAGAATGTTACCCACTATCGCCGAGAACGATAACCTTGAGCAATGTTCGTCTGCGCAATGACATGGCAGATGAATTTAAACTGATATGAATCGGAAAAAAAAAGCGGAAAAATAAACTTTTTGGACAGTGCCAAGGCGATTGATTGGTTGATTTTTTGAATTTTTCCTTTTCTTTTCTCTTTTCTCTTTCCAGGAACGGAAAGAATGAATGGGGGAGAGAGAGGAGAGAGGGGAAAAATGGAACCTAAATTCCAGAAATGAATTATTAGAAATAAATTACTGAAATTAAAACCCAAATTCCAGAAATGAAGAAAAATGGAACCCCAATATGGAAATTAATCACCTTGGAGACCATCTTTGTGTGATAGAGGGACTTGTGGATGTCCATGGCATAGTCGACCCTGTTGGTCATGTTAAGGAGCTCAATCTTGGACTTGAGGATCTGCTCATCTGGATACATCTAACGCTCCTGCAGGGACGGGAGGAGGGAAAAAATGAAGAAATTTGCGTTTAGGGATCTGGGTGTGTCGTTGAATACTGGAACGATACGAAGAAATTTGGGTTTGCGGAGAGTAGCAGAAACTGAGAATGGCCTCCTGTCTACCCTACAATCCCCTCACCATTGATCCCAATCAGTCCTGACAATTGAAGATGACAAAAGTACCCTCCAAACTTTTAATCCGGGCCGTCTGATCTTAACCTTAGATGGGCATTCCCATCATTAAATTGAGGTAAGCCCAGCAAACACAGCCCAAACTGAACTAACCCAGCCACCTTCACCCTAGTGGCAATTTTGTAAATAAACTGAAATGTCTTACAAAACACTGTTCATTTGTACAGTGCAATTTCAAAGCCTTCTTTAGACTAAAGTAATAGCTTATTCTCCCTGTTTAAGGGCTGGTTTGGTATTGCTGTGCTTTGGAAAAAAAAACTATTTCTGCTGTGCTGTGAGAATAAGCTTATTTTTGTTGCTTTATGTTTTCAGTTTTTTTTTCATCCAAAACTGTGAAAATAAGTTGTTTTTAAGTGTTTACCAAACATCTTTTTTAGCTCAGTTTTTTTTATATCTATTTTTTATAAAAGCACCTCAATACTGAACCAGCACTAACTCACCCGTTTGAGAACTGTTCATTTGCTACTGATTTGGTGGGTTTTGAGTCTCCGCTTAGGAGAACATTCCGTCTCAATGAAATAAAGATGTGTAAGAAGTTTTTGTCCACATCTTTATTTTATTAGCATAGGATGCCACATGGCGGCAGATACCAGTGTCAAATAAGTTGTTCTCCTTAAGTACACCTAGTGGGATTCTAATTTCTTCAACTTGTCTTCGTGGTGGGACCCATGAGTCATTTTACTCGAGTCTAGTTAGTACGACTGAGCGAGTGCCTTGGAAATCCCATTTGGGCAAATAATGTCTTTTGCATGAATTTGTCAGGAGTATGGTTTGCTTGGCAGGAAACAAATGTAACCCATGGAGTTAGTTTTCTTTGCATGAATTCGTGCATAATTGTTACTTGCTGCATATTATCAAACATGTTCAGTATGTTACCAGATCACCAAAGCCAAACCATTAAATCCCACAAGAGTTTGTTTTAAGCATTCCACACACACACACGAGACATGGGTCAGATAATGAAAAACGAAATCTTGTGTAAAAGTAAATGCATTTTCTGAATTCATTCATTCTTTTATCGATTGATCAACCTCCCAATCCCAAATCGAAATGGAGGGGTAACACGACAGATTCTTCTTCCTCCGTTACCCAGTTGAGCCGCCAGCAGAAAACCAGTAAGACAACCCTAAAATTACAACCACTAAAAGGCATCTCAGACAGGCGGACAATAGTATACAGATACAACCTGCATTGCATTCACCACATCGCCAAAACCAACAACCTAATTCTAACCCTACAACGAGGAGAAACACAAAATGAGCTTCAAATACAAAATCAAACAGCCTTCCTGCCCGGCACACCCTCTCGGAGTACCGCCTAATTTCTCTGGAAAAGAAAGAGGTTAGAAACGGAGTCAGCTTGCATCCTGACTGCTTGAGATGACAAAATTACCACCTCATACTTTGTCAGCGAGTGAACTACTCTTAAACATCACAAAAGTACATTCTGTTGTCGCCGCATGCATGCCTAAAATGCCTAAGCACTAGTAGTTGATACAACTGTTGCCTTCCTGTCAACCGACTCGCTGTCGTCTCCACCTTTACTGCTTTCAGATGACGGAGCTAATTCTTTGTCACCCTCTTCCAACTGCAATACTTGAGATAAGTTATCAGATATTTGGTCCACGGATGAATCATGTTCAAGTATAACTGACGCAGCATCTGTTTTTGAGCTAATGTCATGTTCAGTTTTTTCCACTTCTTTGCTACTACTTCCTTTCAACTGCAGGGCTTGATCCAAACTATTGGAAATTTCCTTAACAGAATCAACGGCAACTGAATCAGAAGCATCTGTAGTCGAACTAGCTTGTTGTTTAACTTTCCTTTCCTTCAAGGAATTTTCCCGCTCATCATAAAATTCAAAATCATCTATAATAGATGTTCGTGCATCAAAATTGTTGAAAATTTTCAACAGCTCAATACCTTGTTTGAGATTCACCTAAGAACATTTCACCATCAAGAAATAAAATGTAAGGCAGATGTAAGCTTTGAATCTGCATAAGAGCCGAACTTTTTTTATTTGAAAGCAACGTAAGAGCCAAACTTAAACTAAGACAATAAGGTAAAAACAAATAGATTGAATGCAATGCATGTGAACTGTCTACTACACAAGATTAATGTTTCGATCACTTCATACAAGAGTGATTTTAGACCACATGTAACCCATAGAGAAATAATGGATAAACAAAAAAATAGTTTGGAAAGCGATTTTTTATGGTTGACCCATTAGTTAAGACTTAAGAGCGCTCAATTACATCTAGATTCTAAATGGGTTCAAATAAGCCTTCTCAACTCCAATTCAAACTTGGCATGTTTATTATTTGGACAAGATAAACCCAACATGGCCCACCCACTTAATAGGTTTTGAGAGGACAAGGTAACTCCTAAATAAAACTCAAGAAAACGTCATGCAATACATCACGCTTTCAGAATGAACATGAAGTATACAAAATTCCAGTATAGTGATCTAATCTTAAAATCACAAATAAAATAACAAATAACAAATCACAAATCCGGTATCCAGTATCCGGTATCCTAGGGCTTCTCTAGGGTCATAGTGGCCACAAAAACCAAATAATTACTACAACAACAACAACAACAACAACAAAGCCTTTTCCCACTAAGTGGGGTCGGCTATATGAATCCTAGAACGCCATTGCGCTCGGTTTGTGTCATGTCCTCCGTTCGATCCAAGTACTCTAAGTCTTTTCTTAGAGTCTCTTCTAAAGTTTTCCTAGGTCTTCCTCTACCCCTTCGGCCCTGAACCTCTGTCCCGTAGTCACATCTTCGAACCGGAGCGTCAGTCGGCCTTCTTTGCCCATGTCCAAATCACCGGAACCGATTTTCTCTCATCTTTCCTTCAATTTCGGCTACTCCTACTTACCTACCTCGGATATATCCTCATGCCCAATCTTATCCTTTCTCGTGTGCCCACACATCCCACGAAGCATCCTCATCTCCGCTACACCCATTTTGTGTACGTGTTGATGCTTCACCGTCCAACATTCTGTGCCATACAACATCGTTGGCCTTATTGTCGTCCTATAAAATTTTCCCTTGAGCTTCAGTGGCCTACGACGGTCACATAACACGCCGGATGCACTCTTACACTTCATCCGTCCAGGTCGTATTCTATGGTTGAGATCTCCATCTAATTCTCCGTTCTCTTGCAAGATAGATCCTAGGCAGCAAAAACGGTCGCTTTTTGTGATCTTCGCTAGATTGCTCCGGTCATTAGTGTGGATAAGTATATAAATGAATAGAGATAGGAAAGCAAACACAAGATGTACGTGGTTCACCCAGATTGGCTACGTCCACGGAATAGAAGAGTTCTCATTAATTGTGAAGGGTTTACACAAGTACATAGGTTCAAGCTCTCCTTTAGTGAGTACAAGTGAATGATTTAGTACAAATGACATTAGGAAATATTGTGAGAGAATGATCTCGTAATCACGAAACTTCTAAGTATCGGAGTGTGGTATCGTCTTGACTTGCCTTATCTGTCTCATAGGTAGATGTAGCATCTTCTCTGGAAGTACTCTTCCTCCATCCAGGGGTGGTATCTTTAACTGGTGGAGATGCACAAGGTAATGTATCAATTTCACTTGAAGCTTACTTGTAGTTTCAGGCTTGGTCAAGCGCGATACAAACCATGTAGTAGGAGTCTCCCAAGTCGCCGAGCTAGGGGATCTGCTGAAAGAGGTGACAGACAAGGTAAGCAATCAGAGCTCCGGCTGATTGTTCACCTTCTCCCCATCTTGCAGCAGCATGAAGGATAAAGAGAAGAAAGATGAGAAGAGATGATATGGGATACTTTTGCTTTTGAAGAAGTAACTTTCCACAGGCTTATTCTTGAACTGAGCTGGAGGGTTTTCTGGTTTCCTCCAGAGCCGACTGAAGAATTTGAGGGTCAAAACAAGTCCATCAAATCTAGAGTACGTTCGACCCTGCTGATATGGGATACTTTTGCTTTTGACAGAGTAATGGATGTATCGGCACGTGTGCTGTTACGCTTGTCTCCACATGCTTCCTTGTATCCTTCGCACTTGCCCTATCTGTTCCTCAAGCAGATGCGGTATCTTCCCTGGAAACATAAGATGTTGAAGATGAGTACTCGAGAGCAATGCCAGGTAAGTAATCAGGTAAGGGGTTCCAGGCAGTCAGTTCCTGGCTGGAAGCTTGATTCCAAGTGCTAACTGATTGCTCTCTTTCTCCTTGTCTTGCAGGTAACAACAAGGCCAAAGGAAAAGACAGGGAAAAAAAGCATGATATGGGATACTCTTGCTTTTAACCCTGATGATATGAGATATTCTTGCTCTAGTATAGCTTGTTTGCAAAGGTATTATCGGGGGGAAAGAAAGCTGAATATTTCGAAAGGCTTCGTTGGGAGTGCCCTCTCAAATATGAGGAAGGGTTGAACATTTTTGCAGGTCTGCCTGTCCGTTGGGGATGGAGGTCGACATATATAGGAGTCTCCCTAACAACAAGTAGTAATGCTATTCCTTTACCCTGCTTGGTCATAGCACGGTAGTGGGAGCTGCCAGCTTCACATGTTTTAACTCTGTCAGAGCACTTTGAAAAAGTGGTCTGTGCTCTCGAGAAGTCTTCGACAGAATGCCCATAATTTCCGCAAAGCTGAGTGTGCGTGTGACAGGTGCTGACAAGGCTAGAAAAGTAGGTGCCTCTTCGATTTCTGAGATCGGCCCTCGTGGTCTCTGAGCAGCCCAGCTTTTGAGAAAGCGAGCGTCTCTTCGATTGATTCGGAGAACGATGCATCTTCGATTTTTAAGAAAGCAATCATGATGGGGGTCTGGCTCTCGAGATTCGGGGAGCAGTGTCACTTCGATTTTTGAGAAAGTAATCATGTTGGGAGTCTGGCTCTCGAGATTCGGAGGGCGGTGCCTCTTCGATTTTGGAGCAAGCAATCTTGTTGGGAGTGTTTTCTCGAATGTGAGTAAAGGTTGGGCATGTTTGCTAGTCTACCTTGCCACGAAGCACAGAGGTTGACACACAGGGATTTTCCAATTATCCAGCAATGGTACTGTTCCTTTACCCTCTCTTCGATTTTTGAGAAAGTAGTCATGTTGGGAGTCTGGCTCTCGAGATTCGGAGGACGGTGCCTCTTCGATTTTGGAGCAAGCAATCTTATTGGTAGTGTTTTCTCGAGTGTGAGTAAAGGTTGGGCATGTTTACTAGTCTACCTTGCCACGAAGCACAGAGGTTGACACACAGGGACTTTCCAATTATCCAGCAGTGGTACTGTTCCTTTACCCTTGTGGGTAATAATATGGTAGCTAGACCTTCAAAATTTATGGGTCTAAACTTTGTTAGTGCTGTTTCTTTGCTATTCTTTTACCTTTCTTGGTCAGAGCGATGTAGTGGGAGCTACAAGCTTTACGTGCTCAATTTTGGCAGAGAACTTTGGCAAAGTTATCTGTGGTACCCATGAGCTAGTGTTGCGTGTGGAAAATGGGTGATTGAACAGTAAGATTCATGTGTTTTCTACTTCCTCAGAAGTCTTCGACAGAATGCCCATAATTTCCGCAAAGCTGAATGTGCGTGTGACAGGTGCTGACAAGGCTGGAAAAGTAGGTGCCTCTTCGATTTCTGAGATCGGCCCTCGTGGTCTCTGAGGAGCCCAGCTTTTGAGAAAGCGAGCGCCTCTTCGATTTCTGAGATCGGCCTTCGTGGTCTTTGAGCAGCCTAACTTTTGAGAAAGCAAACGCCTCTTCGATTTCTGAGATCAACCCTCGTGGTCTCTAAGCAGCCCAGCTTTTGAGAAAGCAAACGCCTCTTCGATTTCTGAAGATCCGTCGAGTGCAGATTTTTATAGGGGCTGGCATTAAGTTCCAAAGCACACTTGAATCTCCACCAGTAGAAGCTCCATTCTTGCACTTCTAAAATCTTGATTTGTCCAACCTCTTCTCTCTTCAACACCTTTGAAAATGTCTGGCCCCTCCGACCGTCGTTTTGACTTGAACCTTGTTGAAGAGGCAGCCCCGCCTTCTCCAGACAACATATGGCGCCCATCCTTCGTCTCCCCTACTGGTCCTCTTACCGTTGGGGATTCCGTGATGAAGAATGATATGACTGCTGCGGTGGTGGCCAGGAACCTTCTCACTCCCAAAGATAACAGACTACTTTCCAAACGGTCTGATGAGTTAGCTGTTAAGGATTCGCTGGCTCTCAGTGTTCAGTGTGCAGGTTCTGTGTCTAATATGGCCCAACGCCTATTTGCTCGAACCCGCCAAGTTGAATCATTGGCGGCTGAGGTGATGAGTCTCAAACAGGAGATTAGAGGGCTCAAGCATGAGAATAAACAGTTGCACCGGCTCGCACATGACTATGCTACAAACATGAAGAGGAAGCTTGACCAGATGAAGGAAACTGATGGTCAGGTTTTACTTGATCATCAGAGATTTGTGGGTTTGTTCCAAAGGCATTTATTGCCTTCGTCTTCTGGGGCTGTACCGCGTAATGAAGCTCCAAATAATCAACCTCTGATGCCTCCTCCTTCTAGGGTTCTGTCCAGTACTGAGGTTCCGAATGATCCCCCTCCGGTGCCTTCTCTTTCTGGGGCTCTACCGACTGCTGAGACTTCTCCTAAGCAACCCTTGTGAAGGCTCCCTCTTGTTTGTTTATTTTGACTCATGTATATGTACACATTTGTAGCTTATCGGGGATATCAATAAATAAGTTTTCCTTCATTTCAACGTATTGTGTTAAATACACCAAAACCTTCTTCGCTAAGTTCTTTGAATTTTCTTTTGTTGAAGCTTGTATGTTGAAGCTTTCTGAGTGGAGCATGTAGGTTGGGGTAGTGTTCCCTTAATTTCCCGAGTGAGGAAAACTTCTCGATTGGAGACTTGGAAAATCCAAGTCACTGAGTGGGATCGGCTATATGAATCTTAGAACGCCATTGTGCTCGGTCCTGTGTCATGTCCTTCGTTAGATCCAAGTACTCTAAGTCTTTTCTTAGAGAGTCTCTTCCAAAGTTTTCCTAGGTCTTCCTCTACCCCTTCGGCCCTGAACCTCTGTCCCATAGTCGCATCTTCTAATTGGAGCGTCAGTAGGCCTTCGTTGCACATGTCCAAACCACCGTAACCGATTTTCTCTCATCTTGCCTTCAATTTCGGCTACTCCTACTTTACCCCGGATATCCTCATTCTTAATCTTATCCTTTCTCGTGTGCCCACACATCCAACGAAGCATCCTCATCTCCGCTACACCCATTTTGTGTATGTGTTGATGCTTCACCGCCCAACATTCTGTGCCATACAGCATCGCTGGCCTTATTGCCGTCCTATAAAATTTTCCCTTGAGCTTCAGTGGCATACGGCGGTCACACAACACGCCAGATGCACTCTTCCACTTCATCCATCCAGCTTGTATTCTATGGTTGAGATCTCCATCTAATTCTCCGTTCTTTTGCAAGATAGATCCTAGGTAACGAAAACGGTCGCTCTTTGGTATTTCTTGATCTCCGATCCTCACCCCTAACTCGTTTTGGCCTCCATTTGCACTGAACTTGCACTCCATATATTCTGTCTTTGATCGGCTTAGGCGAAGACCTTTAGATTCCAACACTTCTCTCCAAAGGTTAAGCTTTGCATTTACCCCTTCCTGAGTTTCATCTATCAACACTATATCGTCTGCGAAAAGCATACACCAAGGAATATCATCTTGAATATGTCCTGTTAACTCATCCATTACCAACGCAAAAAGGTAAGGACTTAAGGATGAGCCTTGATGTAATCCTACAGTTATGGGAAAGCTTTCGGTTTGTCCTTCATGAGTTCTTACGGCAGTCTTTGCTCCTTCATACATATCCTTTATAGCTTGGATATATGCTACTCGTACTCCTTTCTTCTCTAAAATCCTCCAAAGAATGTCTCTTGGGACCCTATCATACGCTTTTTCCAAATCTATAAAAGACCATGTGTAAATCCTTTTTCCCATCTCTATATCTTTCCATCAATCTTCGTAAGAGATAGATTGCCTCCATGGTTGAGCGCCCTGGCATGAACCCGAATTGATTGTCCGAAACCCGTGTCTCTTGCCTCAATCTATGCTCAATGACTCTCTCCCAGAGCTTCATTGTATGACTCATTAGCTTAATACCCCTATAGTTCATGCAATTTTGTACGTCACCCTTATTCTTGTAGATAGGCACCAAAGTGCTCGTTCGCCACTCATTTGGCATCTTCTTCGTTTTCAAAATCCTATTGAAAAGGTCAGTGAGCCATGTTATACCTGTCTCTCCCAAAACTTTCCACACTTCGATTGGTATATATCGTCTGGGCCTACTGCTTTTCTATGCTTCATCTTCTTCAAAGCTACAACCACTTCTTCCTTCCGGATTCTACGATAAAAATAGTAGTTTCTACACTCTTCTGAGTTACTCAACTCCCCTAAAGAAGCACTCCTTTCATGTCCTTCATTGAAAAGATTATGAAAATAACCTTTCCATCTGTCTTTAACCGCGTTCTCTGTAGCAAGAACATTTCCATCCTCATCCTTGATGCACCTCACTTGGTTTAGGTCCTTTGTCTTCTTTTCCCTTGCTCTAGCTAATTTATAGATATCCAACTCTCCTTCTTTGGTATCTAGTCGCTTATACATATCGTCATAAGCCGCTAACTTAGCTTCTCTCACAGCTTTTCTTCGCTTCTTGCTTCGCTTTTCTATACCTTTCACCATTTTCATCGGTCCTATCCTTGTATAAGGCTTTACAACATTCCTTCTTAGCCTTCACCTTTGTTTGTACCTCCTCATTCCACCACCAAGATTCCTTTTGGTGTGGGGCAAAATCTTTGGACTCTCCTAATACCTCTTTTGCTACTTTTCGAATACAACTAGCCATGGAATCCCACATTTGGCTAGCTTCCCTCTCTCTATCCCACACACACTGGGTGATTACTTTCTCTTTGAAAATGACTTGTTTTTCTTCTTTTAGATTCCACCATCTAGTCCTTGGGCACTTCCAAGTCTTGTTCTTTTGTCTCACTCTTTTGATATGTACATCCATCACCAACAAGCGATGTTGATTAGCCACGCTCTCTCCTGGTATAACTTTGCAATCCTTACAAGTTATACGATCTCCTTTCCTCATTAGGAGAAAATCTATTTGTGTTTTTGACGACCCACTCTTGTAGGTGATCACATGTTCTTCTCTCTTCTTAAAGAATGTGTTGGCTAAGAAGAGATCATATGCCATTGCAAAATCCAAGATAGCTTCCCCATCCTCGTTTCTCTCCCCAAAACCATGGCCACCATGGAAACCTCCATAGTTGCCTGTCTCCCTGCCCACGTGTCCATTTAAATCTCCTCCTATAAATAACTTCTCCGTCTGAGCAATTCCTTGCACCAAGTCTCCAAGGTCTTCCCAAAATTTCTCCTTCGAACTCTTATCCAACCCTACTTGAGGTGCGTACGCACTAATCACATTGATAAGTTCTTGTCCTATTACAATCTTGATTGCCATGATTCTATCTCCTACCCTCTTGACATCTACAACATCTTGTGTCAAGGTCTTGTCCACGATGATGCCAACACCGTTTCTCGTTCTATTTGTGCCCGAATACCAAAGTTTAAACCCTGAGTTTTCTAGATCCTTTGCCTTACTACCAACCCACTTAGTTTCTTGTAGGCACATAATATTTATCCTTCTCCTCACCATAACTTCCACTACTTCCATAGATTTTCCCGTTAAGGTTCCTATATTTCCACGTTCCTAAACGCATTTTGCTCTCTTGAACTCTACCCTTCTGTCCTAGCTTCTTCACCCTCCCCCGTCTAATAGGATCAAAGTACTTCTTTTGTGTGTCCCGTGTAAAGTTGATAGGAGCATATGCTCCCAAACAACTTTGAGTGGAGTCGTTCGAAAAGAAGTTTCTATGGCCCCCTTGCTCATTTAACACTGCATCCGGGTGCCGATGGAGATACAGCGACCCTTGCTCATTTATCACTGTGCTCGGGCCACACAGCGCGCCACTTACGGGTGACGCCCTAGCTTTAGCGCGATTTTGTTCTGGATTCATTTTCATAAGGATTCGACGTGATCATGGAGTGCCGGCTGTCGACTACCTGACGCCCTCCCCCTCCTCCTTTATCCGGGCTTGGGACCGGCAATGTAAGATACATAGGCGGAGTTAAAAACCAAATAATTACTGACCATGCATAATTGAACACCAAGTCTAAACTGTTTTAGTTTGTAAATGAAAATGGAATTTTAATGAAAGTGACAAAGATGGAGAGAGATATGCTACCTCCTGACAATCTCGGCTGTGCGTGACAGGCTTATTATCATTATTTTCAAGTAGAATGTGACGGAACCGAATGTTAGGAACATCCTTTACAATATGCCACTGAACCGGAAATTGCCCACTCCACCTTTCCTGCTGCCAGTAATCAGCATCCTTCTCAAAATCTACAGGTCCCACCATTTCCGCTACTCCACAAAACTGTCCGCTAGCATTAACCTGTAGTGAGTTGTAACCAACAAAATCTATGAGGACTTCCAAAACTAAAAAGCATATAGTTTAGATCATATCACCAACAAATATAGAATAACTTTATCACAGGCAACAAATTTCTTGTAAGCACCTATAGGGTTTCTGCAGAAAAGAACATGAAAGTCAGTTTATTCCCTTCGTCTAGTAGGAATACATACAATATTCTGTAGCAGGTTTAGTTGACTACACCTAAAAGAAAAAAGGTGAACAAAGAAAAATGACCACTTGAAACCACAAAAGCATTTTAGCAAACAGTTATTGGGTCCAAGGAATGATATATACGGAAATTTGCATGGTTTATATTACTGAATGAATCTCAAAGAGAGATTGCCACATTAAAACTTTTAGTTATCACCTGGATCTTATGGGCACCAACACCCAATCATTCTACCTAATGCTTTGTGATGCCGATACCAATCATATACTCACCCACTTTCAACTAGGACCCCCTCAGCCCAGTTGCTCCAACAGGTAGGAAGATAAGGACAGATTCTAAAAGTTATAAAAGAAGCATACCGAAAAGAATAGGAAGACTGCGCAGCTGCCTTTTATCTTCTTTGCCTCATGATAAGCAGCATCAAGTTTCTTGTTTCCATGAGGCGTGCTAGCCCAAACATTGTATTTAATACTTTTGTGAACATTGTCCTCACTGAAAGACTTAACGATAAAGAATTTTGCATCCTCATATTCTGTGACAAAATCGAGCCGGTTCAATGAATCAAGGTTAATTCCAGAAGCAGATAGATCCATTTTCCTAACACTACATGAAGAACTCTGGTCGGAAGTACTCTTTCCCTTCATCTTCAAAGCCCTTGGTCCATGAATGCGGTTATTGAAGATATCATGTGAATTATTATAAATGGAAACTGAATCCCAGTCCCTCTCTCTTCTTCTGGCCTTGTCAACATTTGGTCGGTTCTGGTCATTACCAAATGAATATGAAGCACCACCAGAGTTTGAGCTCTGATAAGAACTACCAGGAGGATAGCGTCCACCAAAGGAACTTGAAACCAATCCGTATCCATGCATTGGTCTCTGTTGATGAGAAATCTGAAAGTAAATCATATATCATCTCTTAGTCATTCCCATAAAAAGTGCATCAAGTTGGCATGGCAATGGTTCAAGTTTAAAAAGGAAATTCAACACTTGATATGCATAAACATTAGAGTAAATAAAAAATAATCAACAGAGTCCATAGATTTCATTTTAGTTATAAAACCCAAACTGAGATACAATTATAGATAATATGCCAAATCTTATGAGCCTTAAATGAGATGATAGTAGGAATGACCCCCAAGTATGGTTAGCATTTCAAATATTCAAGAATTGACTCGTGGAAGGGCAGCACTGTCTTATCCGACTAGTAGCATGAGTAACTAAGACCCTATGAGTAACTAAGACCCTATCAAAAACAGTCATACACCAATTGCAATGCCTTTGAACCATAATCTTTTTTCGTACCATGACGTGTTTCAACCTCTACCACATTTCTAGGAAGAAAGAGTCCAAATGATGTCCGAGGATGACAAAAAACTACCAAAATTCCCACCCCAAAAGAGAAGGGGAAAAACATGACTAAAAGAATGTAATATAATTAACATGACATATCTCTGAAATCTTGAATTACACCAAGAACATGTAAATGTGTACCACCAATGTGGGTGCAATAATACTATATTCCTTTTATAAATACAAAAGTAGTATTGTGATCACCAAGCACATGGAAATAACTATGGTGCTGACCATAACATAAAAACATGCCTCCTATACTTAACATATAAGTATGACCAAAGTTGTATGTGTTTTTAGATTTCTAACAACAGTACTAGTAGCACTATAGCAATTCTTCCAGTCTACGAACATCTCTTTATCAAGGAATTAATATAGTGAAGTTAAAAAGAAAACAAACCTGCCCAGCATTGTGTTCGTATGACCCAAAAATGCCCGTTGGTGGAGAATAAATTGTTGCCGATGCTAAAGGACTAGAACCAAGATGTCCAGACAGATCTCCACTAAATGATCTATAATTTACCATGTAACCTGATCCTGGCCCATAGCCCATGTTGTCAGTGCTACTACTTTCTGATGTCATCAACTCAGATGGCTGGGGGTAGTAAGATGGAGAAAAAGGGACCTGCTGTGTAGAATAAAGTTGGCCATCTACCATTACAGGCAAAGGAGTAGCGACTGGTGAATACTGTCCATATGCAATTTCGGGATTAAAGCCATAACCAGAGTGAAACAGAAGAGAGCGATAATCATTGTAGATGACCTGAAATGACAACAGAAAAATAAACCACAGGTAAGTTTGGCTCAAAAGGAAATCAGAAGAAGAATTGCACAAGTGAAGATATACTCACTGGTGATAAAACATGCATTCCATCAGCATTATATGGAGAATATCCATCCCAAGTACCTGTGTTATTGCCATAATCTGAAAACAAATGGAACTTTAAAATCTGAATCCTTACAACTTTAATTATATGCTATGAGAAGAGTAGCAGAACATTGTCAATATTACCAAAAGCCTTTATTTCTTATGGGGAACACCGAAAAGAATCATGACATTTAAAACATAGTTCATGAAATCCCACAGAGAAAGAAGCAACGCTAAGAGTTCACATGAATCAAACTACAGTTAACATCAAACCACTACATCATGAACTCCTGGAGAAAGAAACAAAAGTTCAGAACTTGACTTAACGTGCAAGTGCAATGTCTGTCACAACACTTGAGAGTTTATGGGAATCAGACTATAGCTAATGTCAAACCACTACTATTTAGCCGGTCCTGATGTTCTTAAAGCAAAGACAGCAGAAAAGGGTGAACAAACTAACCACCATAAATGTTCCGTTCATGAGATGAATACAAATTAAGCAGATGGGGGGTGCTTCGTGCTCCACTAACATCTGAAGACTTGGGTTGTTCTGTAACATCATCTGAAGGCCCTATGATGACTGCAGCTGGAGAAGGATTCGCTGAAACTATTCTTTCATCTTCGGGCAAAAGTGGCTGAATATAAATTACAAAATCAATAAAATACAGCTACCAAAGCCTTTGAATACATAGGAATAAAAAAACAGATACAACATTCTTAATAAATATACAACCAACTACCTGCTCTTTCAAGATATGTGACTTAACAGGTCTCTCTCCTGCACCCAGAATTGCAGATGCTCAGTATAACAGATGAACAATAGAAGCACAGACACAACAAAAACATCACCATGGAACAAAACAACCCTATCTTCGGGTTTGGGGATCAAGAATTCAACTAAAACACAGGAAACACCATAAATTTTTCGAGAATAATGACCTGAAACATAATGCATTCCGTAAACTATACTTGGCAGCGGACCAACAAAGAATTCTCATTAAATCAACCAACAAAGAATTCTCATTAAATCAAACTAATTGGAAAATACCAAAATCAACGTGAATGACAGAAAATAACACCGACCCACAAATTCTTATTGAATATCAACAAACAAGCAAACACAGTAGACACAGAACATCAAACATTTCCGCCCAAAAAACAAAAAACTGGAAAAAAGAAGAGATACCAGTGGAGACGATCCGATCTTGGTCGCCTTGATGCTTGTCCATATATCTAAGATAGGGATCTATGAGAAGAGAAGCAGCTACGACGAAAGGAAAATTTCAAAACAATGAGAAAATGTTGGAGGGGAGAGAGAAACAGAGAGGGGTTTTTGGTGTTTTGAAAGAGGGAAAAATAATAAAAGAGGGTTTTAGGTTTTGTAACAGGAGAGAGAGAGGACTGGGCGATTTCATTTGGGTGCTTTTATATTAATTTGGCTTTCTGATTAAGGCGGTCCTTTTGAATTTTGGTGGGATAATTGGTTTAGGCTCGTTTAGTTTATCATTTAATCACGGGCTAATTATATTTAGAAAGTAATTTCCACTTACTATTTTTCTTTTCCACATAATTGTGGTTCGTTATTCAGGTCTAAAATGCAATTAAATAAAGAAGCGTATAGAATAAGAAAAATGTTTGTGAAAATTATTTCCGATATATTTACTCCCTTTTACTTTTCACAAACTTACAATGTTGTATGATACTTCTCATATGATTATTTATGTTGTAAATGTTACTTATATTTCAATCACATAATAATTTACTTGAAGGGAATCCAAACTTAATTTAAGAGGGCAAACTTACAAAGGAGTGAGCAAAACTGCATTAGCGAAAATATAGAAAGAACATGATCTCTTATTGTACATACTATCGTTTGTTAAAAATAAAAAAAAAATAAGAATATGATCTCTTATTTTAACTAATCATTAGCCAAACATTTGAAATATTTGGACATGTTGTATACATTGGTTTGTCACGAATGAGAAAGTCTTACATACAATCAAGCGAATGCATCATTCTCTCTCAAAAAATGGGGGGATACGTGGTGGGTAGGGTAAGGCTAAAAAAATGTAATTTTTCGTTAAAATAAACAGTACCAAAAGTTTTTCATTAAAATTCATATACATAAAACTTGTGGGGCGATGGGTAGGTAGGGCTTGGAGATGTATTGCTCGTGTGCGTGTGGTTTCATGGGGGGCACGTGATCCGCACTTGGGAGTCTACTAGTTGACATGCTGGGCGCAAATATACATCCATCAACAACCGTACTCAGTTGTTTGGGCAAGGAATCGGCAGCTCCTTGGTTATGGATAGAGTTTACTTGCCGAGATAGAAGGCTCTCTTTCTTTCCTTCAATTTATTTCTTGTTCCTGTCCCTTTGAGTACCTTACATCTGCCCACTCCGAGCGGACGGATGAATTCCTCGTCACGAAGGTTCTTCAACAATGAGTGCAAAAGCAAGGCAGCATCCCTGCCGGACATTTGACGTGGTTTGGTGAATGGCCTTGAGTAAGCATGCCATTTTAGTCAGTGAAGGCCCAGCTGGCCTCCTGAACTGACCTGACCTGACCCAGTGAGAGTGAGGAGTCTCGAAAACGATATAATAAAGCTTTATTTTCATAGAGGTCAAATGGTCCTTCCCTTACAGGATGGAAGTAAAGGTATTGAAAGCAAAATCCTGGTCTGTTTCACAACAATCCCAAAATTCAAGAATTGCTTTTGTATTCGTTGAATTCAATCTACAAGCAATTCCTTCCTTGTAGATTGAAGTAGACAACTGTTGAGTTGAATTCTCTCCTGTTCAGCTTGGAGCCTTGCTCCGCATGCCAGGTACTAACATATACAAATTTCAAAACTGAAGCATATATGTAGATTTGATCGTACGTACTATGTATCAACATCTTCTGCTGTTTTTATACCACATTTATCATTTATGGGTATGAATGAATGATATCCCAACAACTACGATGTCCTAAACCTGTATATATGATAAATCAAGGACAGAAAAAAAAAAAAAAAAGTAATCTTCCTGGTACATGCTACCTTGCTCCAAATTCTCTTAGATGCCAGAGAAAATCCAGATGAAGAATTTTACTAGTGACGCTTCATTTCCCGGAATATGTTTGTCACCTTTGGGGATAATCTTGGAAGGAATTTAAACAGCTGCACAGAAATACAATGGTAGACGAACATTTAACAATGCTATCAAATTGCAAAGATATACAAGCAGTAAAGCGTGTACGAAAATGAATATCACTGTGTATGTTCATAAATATTTCAAACACATCCGTATATATGAGGCACAGCCAGAGTGAAATGAACAAAGCATTGCAGCTTGGAGAACTAGTTTTGGTACTTATAAATTGGACTTTAGTAAGTAAGCATGTAGATAGCTTTGACTGGAAAGACAATAGAGGGGATCCAAGTCTATACCATTTCTCAAGTCTTGGTAAGCATAACCATGAAAATTGTAACTTTTGCGGAAACTGAAATTACTAGACAGTAGAGTAAAACATACCCATAGTTTGACACATGCATCCATGATGACTGGAATCAGGCAAATGAAAAAGGTTACGGCTGACTGATCAACCTCAAGCCCATAATGCTCAACAAAAATTTCTAACAATGTTTGCCAACCAGACTCAGAATGATACCTGCAGGTATGCAGTTGTATATCGCAATCAGAAAGGTTTGATATGCACACATTTTGGTCACACAAGGATGAGTAAGATGGCGATCACAGAAATGAAACTGAAGAAATTGGAACTAAAAGATGGCATTCAAATATGAAATTATATATACCATCATCCCGAAAGCTTCCCTAAGGGACACTGTGCATCCTTGACATGCAATAATACACACACACACACACACACACACATATATATATATATATAATGTGTGTGTGTGCCTGTCTGTATATATACATTTATGGGGTGATATCCTCTTACCACATAACTGGATAACTTAGGTCATGAGACTGTGAATCTGGACTACACTGTATCCCAAGAGCCCGCCAAATCAGTGGTCCATATTAACAGTCTAGCAATATAACATACTAAGCTATCTGGCAAGAGAAAATTCCATATATGTGTATGTGTCTTTAATATTATAGCTTTCCATAGTAGTAAGCAAATATGAATAGCAACTGTATTGTATACTAATTATGGTAACAGAAAAAAACACAGTACCGAACAAATGAGCAGTTTATTACCCTAAAAAAATATCTGTGATAAGTATAATTAGAAATGCCTTCCCGGTATCTGAAATATTATTTATGATCTTATAACCAGTAAACTTCACCAATGCTACCTGCAAAAGAAAGATAACAAATAAAAAACGGAATACAATCGATTTAACAAGACTTAGTGCAGAGTTCTTAGGCTAAAGTTCATACCTGTGCAGACATCTTAAATAAGAAACAAAATTGTCTCCATGAAAACAAGTAAGCTCCTTGTGACAGTAACTACAAAGTATATCTTCATGGTTACTCCATGAAGTTAAGCTATAATTTCATTGCCGAACTGATAATCAAACAACATGATCTCCAACAAATAGCCAGGAAAATTCTCTCTTACTTTTACATAACAAATATTGATGACTGGAATTTATGTCTATACAAAGCAAGACTATTATTGAGATTATAGTATAGGACTTGATGAGAATGAAGTAATGAACCAACGTGAACTCCAAATCTATGAATATTAATCATAAACTCTTAAAGCTCACCTCTGATAGGAAATGATATAGCTTTCGTACTTTTGTAACTTTATCTGCTTCATTCCAATTACTTAGACCTAATATGTGTTGCTTCTTATGTCACCACTCCAATCTCGACATCAAATGTTTTATAGTCTTGACCTACTGTAGATTTATTTCTGGCAATATTTACTTTGATATTGATAGCATAATCCTGATCAGATAAAAGGCATCACAATTTCACTATTTTGTTGACGAGTATTCTGAAAGCAATGAGGGCGCATATTCATCATTCTAACCAAATAGATGATAAATAGACCAAAAAAGACCGCATGGATCACAAATTGACAATTAAGAAAAGGCTAAGAAAAAAAAAACACTCATACCTAATAATGCAATAACCGATCATACTACTATTTATGCAAGACAAATGGGGTTGTTAACTGTAACATTCCAAGGACATTCAATTTTAGGCAATGCTATTATGATCATAATGCACCACATAAACAAAGTAATAGTAACTCACTTTATTCTGATTGCTGTATAAAAGAATGAATAATGAGATCCCGAATATCATATCTGACCATATGTTGGCAAATGCTTTACGATTCTCTAATCTCCATTCATCTCTCAGCTCTAATCTGTTGAAGCCATAAGAAAAGTAATTTGGATGACATTCGTCACTGAAACTAAAGTCCAAAATCTAGCTTAAGAAGATTAAATCATAAAGGGAACTTTCCAATATTATCTCAAGAAATAATACTCACTTTCAACATTTCTGGCACATTACACTGTAATTAAAAATATGAAATCATTCACATAGGAAAATTTATTAGCCAACAACCACAACAACAACAACAACAAAGCCTTATTCCACTAAGTGAGGTCGGCTGTATGAATCCTAAAACGCCACTGCGCTCGGTTTTGGGCCAAGTCTTCCGTTACAGTTATACCCGTACTTTTTTAATACTTGATAACCTTTTAGAGTTACGGATCTCTGAAATGTGAGATATTTTGTTATGAAGATCCAAATGTCCAAGTGTGCAATGAGAAAAAAGCCCAGCTATAAATTTACACCATAGCATCATAATCATATTAATGAAAAAAATTCCAGCTAAAAGAAAATCTGTTTTCTAATGACAGGTGCCATGTGTTTATAGGTTCAAAAAGTTAGCTGGTTATGTTTTGGATTACTTACACATTAGTTGTACAATGATAACGCATTCATTTTAATAAAAAATGCCTTTCTTTCTTTCTTCCTTCTTGGTACGATTCTCCCTGTCTTGTCACTCTATGTTACAAGAGTTCAGATTTTCTTCCTTATTTTTTTCTGCAAGCATATATCCATATCTTTCCCAGCCCTCTAATTTGAACTTCTAAAGTTCCAGTTTTGGTCATACTCTGTACAGTTCTTCCATATGTAGTGTGTCACCTCCTCTACCTTGTACCTTATTGTAAACCCCACTCAGATTGCAGGTACAGTTTCTCTGAAGGATAGTGGTGCTGCTATCCTAGAACTCATGTAGTGGCATTACTTAGACTACATGTTGAATTCCCAACTACCTTTTTATCTTAAGATATATTATAACTGTCCTGGGTTAAGTCTTCACTCTTAACTTTTTATCCGATTTAAAGGCTTTCAGCATGTTATAACTTATGGAGGTTTACACATTGGAACTAGTCATTGATGTAATGATCTAACTAATAAGTTCTACATGTTTGACTGTTTATGTGGTGATATGTTCTAGGGTCACAAGTCATAAACTATACTGCTCAAGTCTTGGCATGTGTGACTATTTTTAGCTCGTTTATAGAATAATTCATTGTAATTTACCCACTCTACTCAATAGTGATTTTGTGAACCTAATGAAAAATCGGATAGATATTAAAGACCAAAACAATAATGTTATGGAGGCTCTTTCCAGAGGAGAACCAAAGAGTGGCAATCTTACGCTTTATGCCGCAACTCCCACCAAACCTCGTCATCAGAAAGCGGTGGAGATTTACCAATCTCCATCTCAAGATGAAATCTTGCTCTCTCCATTTTTAATTCATCAATCATTTGGAGCTTTTGATTTCTTCTGACATCAAGCAACTGTGCTGCAAGTGGTACGGTCTTCACATATCTGTTCCCAAGCAAGTGGGTGCTCGATCCATTAGTTCATAATTTTAGAGGTAAAAGTAATGGTTAAAAATGAAGTTAATACCAGGTCCAATGCAAAAAAGACTATGTATGTATGTCTGCACGTATGTACGCATATTACAACACAAACAGCCTAACCATAGTGGTTCAAAACTAACTCAATTTTTTGACATGATTACTGAAATTTAAAGCTTGCAAAATAGAACCAACCTAACTCCAGAGGCATCAAATGGTTCCTTAGGAAATTGACCTACCCAACAGGAAAGTTCCAAGTTAAGGAGGTCCAGGAAGAGTAGAGAAGTTACATTTAGAGAAGTATGTGAAATTCTGTAGTCTACACCACTCAATTGCACTATGCACACATGCCCTTCTTTAAAATAAGAAAATTTATGGCAGCCACTTATTTAAAAATACGTTTCTGATGCAGTCTTCTTTTCTGGCATCAATATACCCTGGAAGTTTGTTGAATAATTTCCTTAAGCTATCCCTTAGGAATGGTGGAATGAAGGAAATGCATAATGAAGTTAATATATATATATATATATATATATATATGGAAAGTAGTTTTAAATTCCAAAGACACAGGATTGGATATTGATATTTAAAGGCATTCACTTGGAAATTTATCAAGGTAACATTCACACACCGTAAACCACCCTCTTTTGAAATGTGTGTGTGTGTTAATTTATATATCTGATAAGCAAAGAGATAATGGTTACCTGTCTAAAAAGGGCATCAGAACATAGTCGTGAACCACAAAATCCAAGGCCCAGGGTATGATTATTAATACTGCTAAAAATTTAGCCTGTAAAAAGGATGAATGTGGCTTATAATTAGCGCAATTAGTCCTTTAACAATAGAAGAAGATCGAAACATGAATTAGCACAAGATTAGTATTTCTAAGGGGAAAAATGCAGGCTGGCTGACAGAAAATAACAACTCAAGCCATGTAATGTAACTCTGTTGCGTGTCGTAATAACATCCAAAACAGAAACAATTATTGAATGCGGCTTAACAGTTAACACAATCACATAAACAAAACCACACACTCAACTCAAAGCAAAGAAAATGTACATTGTTTTTGTACTAGTTCTAGTTACCGAATTGAGTGAGGCATAGCGAAAAACACGGTCTTCATAGAGCATGTCCTCATCATCATCTTCTTCCCTTCCGAGGACGAAATTGCTGAGAGAGTAAAGCAATCCCCTTTCTTGAGCAGGATCCGACTCTACAGATGCTTCCCAGAAGGAAGTAGATTTAGAATTAGAATCCACAAACCAATCCTCCCACTTGCGGTTCTCCTCGTTGGTCAAATCCTGCTGCGCTTCCCTCAGCTCCACGATTGCTTCTGCCCTCGTCTTCCACGCCTCAAATTTCTCAGCTTCTTCACCTTTTTCCGTGGAGGCAGCTGCGGAGGATCCATCCAAGTCCTCCTCCTCCGTCGCCAGCATGTCGTCCTCCTTCAAACCAAGCCAATTCCCGTCGTCGTCGAAAAAGAATGTTTGCCACCAAGTCCTTTTCCTTTTCCTTTTGCCACCAGCATTTGGAATGTGCCCCGCAGCGGCAGACCTCCACCGCCTTGTATCAACCACCAGTGCAGTCGACCAATTTCTGTGCAGAATGAAGGTGTTGCGACTGAGCAGCCTGAGCTTGGGGTTAACAAAGATAAAGGTTTTGCAGAAGACGGCGGGGGAGGACATGATTAACATAGTAAGCCCACATTTTTCAGCCTCTCAAAGCAAAAAATGAAAATTCAAACATGAACATCAAAACTACTTGGTGGATAAAGAGCTTCTTCACTCTTCACACATCAGGGAAGGAAAGAGGATAACGGTTGGTTTAGTTATTCTTTTATTTTATTGGGCTAATATCATAATAATAAATATTTTGGGTTATGGTTATTATATATTTGCCCTCTCAACTTTTTGCCTTATCCTCTTTGCTTCTTATTATTATTTGTTTTCCAAATCAGTCCTTAAACTTTACAAGTTACAAGTGTGTTGAGTAAGGATTCAATTTTAAGCAAATTAGCAAGGTGATGCATTATAAGTTATAACTAGGGGTGGTTCGGTATGGGATACCGAACCAAAACATTTGTCCTGATTCCCAAATCAAAATTTTCGGGAATCCCAATTTCAATACCGATCCCAAACCAATTTTTCGGGAATCCCAATTTTCGAGAATCCCAAAATATTTTCGGGATTTCGGGAAAAATCGGGAATTCCGAAATAGTTTTGGGCTTTTGAAGTTTTGGACTAAATTTAACATATTATGCTTTTGGGCTAAAATCCAACCTTTTATATTGAAAATTTGGGCTTTTGGGCAGGCTGCCAATTTGCCCAATTTGTTGTTACACTAAAATTTGAATCTACACAAATCAGCCAATTTGAAATCTGTGCACAAATGGCTGAAATCTGTGCACAATAGCATCCTTAATCTGCCTATTCTGAAGGGAAATCTATGAGATTCATGTATGGGATTTCATAATGACTATCATGCATATACAAATCAAATTTTAATATACGAAAACAGCGGAAGCATTTATAACATATTATCAAAGTTATAGTCATGCAAATCCCCTTCAAGGTTCATAGGTTTATATATAATGCATCAAATAAAATTTTAGAGAAAAGAACAAAGTGAAGGTTTAGTCTTATACCTCTTGATCTAGACGTGAGACCAAGGATAGACCACCTCCAAGCCCTTTGTTCCTTGAACTCCTTGAGCCTAGCTTCCCTCCTTGCCTCCTCCACTTTGATAGAATGAGTGCTCCTAGGTTCTCTTCAAGTTTCCAAAGTAGGAAACCTCTAAAGATCCTCACCCACTAGTGTAGTGAGAAGGATGAAGGAATAACCAAAGGGTGAAAGATATGTTAGTAAAATCACCCCAAGGGTGGCCGGCCTTTGTGTATTTCTTAGAGAGATATTTTCTTTTGCCTCTTTGTTGTTTTAACCACACAAAAACCCTTAATGAAAAATATCACTATAAAGTTCCTTATATAGACAAAAGAAACCTAGCCAACAACTTGACTAAATATCTCACCATTTCCACCAAAAGTGGCCGGCCTCTTTGTTGTTTGTTTGGGCTTTGGGCTTTTATTATTTCAAGTCATCCAATGCTTGAATAAAAGCCCAATGGGTTTAGGCCCAATGGGCCCAATTAAATCCCGAACGTTTCTTTAAGCCCAAAAACGATCTTTATCGCTTTTATGATTTCTTTAGACTTTCTAAATTAATCACAACACTTAATTAATCCAATTAATTATTTCCATCATCCATTAGTTACTCACTACAATAGTGTATTGGTGAACAATCTTTTAGGTTCTAATTAGCAAGGCAGTGAGGTGATTGGCATCAATCCAATTGATTATATTTAATTCAATCACTTAGTGAATTAAAACTTCATTTTAATTCACCTTTCTTCTTTGACGACTACATTTAATCATCTAGAAGAACTCACAAGCTATGAGTGACATCTAACCATATGTCATAGCTACCCAAGCTAATGTAGAAGTTTATTCGGAGAACCTATTCAGTTGGAATTACAATGTAATTCGATCCTTCTCTAAAACAATACTCTCAATCACATTACTTAGGGTATGGATATATTATGTCAAACCCCTAATGTGATTATTCCTTCTTATATGATTCAATTGAGTCGTATAGGAACGCTTTCCTTTATTACGCTCGATACTTCGGCCGAAGATTCCCGAATCATATCTTAGAGTATTCTTCCTCTCTTATCGAGGATTAGAGATTCCTTGTTGCGCATACACTTGCCTTCATGACTAAGTGGCTTAACCCCAACTATGCCGTTGGACATTCTGATAGAGTGACTTTTGACATAATCAAAGATTAAGTACTTAACCACAAGACAACGACGATGCCTCAGGTCAAAGGACTTACTTACATTATTCCAACCATTAGAGTTACTTGCTTGACATGTGAGTAGACCTCCATGCAAGTACTCTCGTTCGATTGTGTTCAGTGAACTCATTCCCTTAATGAGCACCTACATACTTGTCTTAGTGTCACAACACGAATGGGATGAGACTTTCCATCATTCCAATTGAAGCGGACACAGTATGTACCGGTCTACGCATTGTCAGTATCCCCTCCGACAATCCAATGACCAGGAACCTATTTGGACATTTGGTTATGTGAAGAAGGTCTTTATAGTCTAACATCATTATATTACTTCTTCAATTGATCCATTGTCCATGGATAAACTATTTAGGACATATATCGTTTATCGAGATAGTCCTAATTAGTATCTTTGCCATTTGATGTATAAGAGTCATCCATACATCGATTCAATTGTCCTGAAAAGTTTCTTCCAAATATTGACTTTCAGGGCATATTTCCAACATATTCAATTTCTAATACACACGCATGCAATAAAAATAAATTAAGTGACAAATCCAAAAGCAAAAAAAATTAGTTACAAGCCAAGGTTTTATAATAAATAAAGTAACAAACCCAAAAGCAAAAAAATTAGTTATGAGATAAAGTTTCAAAATAATTAAGTTACAAACCAAAAGCAAAAAAAGCAAAGCATAAGGTTTATGAAGATTGTTGGCCTCTTCGGCCCCTTGCTTCTTGTCTGGCTATCTCTGCCTGCAACAAAACAATGTTTGATAAGGCTAAAAAACAAAACATCGGTGCATCATGTCCAAAATTTAGCAAATGTAAGCACGCATTTTGCTAAAAACTAGTTATTACAGGGATGATTGCTCACGAAACAAATAGTTCTCTGCAGAATTTCCCAAGAACTAGTGTAGACTAGAAATAAACATACAACACGCTACACAGAGGATCACAGAGAAACCTAGTCCTCGTTTTCTAATACCCACATAGCACTGCAATCAGTTAAACTTAAAAGTAAGAGAAGTTCCCAGATATTGTTTAAAAAACTAAAAATAAAAATTAGGCATGTAAGAATGAAAAGAACCCAGTTAGATGTGAACTAGTAATGAAAGGAACTCAGTTAGATGTGAACTAGTAATGAAAAGAACCCAGTTAGATGTGAACTAGTAAAGGTTGCAATAACAATTAAAAAAAGAAAAAAATGCAGATGATTGGGCATATTTGTGCTTTGCTTAACTAATCAGAGTAATTCAGTCTAAACTTCAAGTCTGTTATTCTGCATTTCAGATGCAACAAAAATTAAACCTCCAATTGGGTTCATAGATATAAACAAAAAAAAGTAGTAAAATTGATGGTGCAAACAAACAAAAAAGAATCTCATAACAACAAAATTGAATTCAAACCAGAAAATGAAATTGAACCCGAGGTGTCTGACGGAAAGACTGAGCGAACAATGTTCACTTAACCATTTTTCCCTTTGGTGCTTACAACCATTGAGTTAACCTTTGATAGTTCAGAAATGTGATAACAAAATTGAAAATTTATGCACTTAAATCAATCCGTTCAGGTTCACACCCACAGGGCCACACCACATACAGATTCAAACTCAAATTCGAACTCACATATACAAATTCACACCCACATACAGATACCCAAATGGCAATACACAATGATTCGAACTCCCAAATGCTGTAAATTCAAACTCACATACTCAAATAATGAACTTTATCGAACAAAAACGTACCTTTTGATAAAAAGCTCACGAATTCGAGAACCCAGTTGGAAATTGAATCTTCTGCTGAATAATACAGAAAAACTGAAGAAAACAAATGGGGGAATAATACACAATGAATTCCAAACCCTAAGTTAAATTTCAAAAGGAAGACAGAAATTAGATTTCAAAACACTAAATTAAATTAATTACCTAATTTGGGATGACAGAGATTCGAACTCAGTGCTGGATGGAGAGTTCCCCAGAGAGAGATCGTCGCGACAGAGAAAGGTGGCGTACAAGTGGCTGTGTGGTGAAGGAAGGCTGGAAAGTCAGATGTGGCGGTGGTCGGTGGCTAGCCGGAATTCGTCACAGAGAGAGAGAGAGAGAGAGAGAGAGAGAGAGAGAGAAATGAGCTGAGGGCTCGCCGGCTCGGTAATGGAGAGATCAGAGATGAGATGAGGAGGGCTCGGCCGCTCGGCTATTCGATAGAAATGGAAGGGAAGTGAACTGAAGTGAAGTGGAATGTGAAAGTAAAATGGTATACCGTATGCAGTATGCTGACCTAAAAACAAACCAACGGCATAGATTAAATCCAAAACAATCAACGGTTCATATAATTCTTTTATAATTAAAAAATATTTATATAAAAAATATTTATTTTTGGTTCGGTATGGGAATACCGAAAAAATGAAGATGCAAAATTGATTCTCGTACCGAAAATATCGGTTTGGTTCGAGATAACATACCGAAAATTTCGGGAATTTTGGTTTGGGATTTTTGGGATTTTTTTCCAGCCCTAGTTATAACCCGAGCCAACTAGCACAACGTCTCTACGAGTGAGTAAGCACTTAACCACTTTTAAATTGAAAGACCAAGGTGAAAGAACCCAAAAGTTGAAGGGGCAAATGTTTATAAAATCCATAGTATTTAAATTGGAAAAAGAATTAAAGAGGTCGGGTGGACCCGATTATTATATAGGTCTGATTTGACCCGATTTTGAAGTACGATACTTTGTCTCTCTGAGTCTAGACTAGTCTAGGTGACGTTGAATTGAGGAGGGAAAGAGAGATGGAGACGGTGGCGGGTATGGTGGTTTCGAATAACCTGCAGAAGTGGGTGGTGGTGGCTGGCGGTGGACACTGCAACATCCATCGATAACCACCTCAACTGAATCACCGCAACATGCATCGGCTTGGGCGACCACCGAGTATGCCTGTATAAAGTGAGCTCATTTTCTTTCTTTGCTTTCCTCTTTGCTGTTATTCTTCGTATCAATGTCCTAGTGTGATTGTTTCGGATTCATTTAAGCCGTATAATCAAACAATCGTCATACCCATTTTCCAAATCTTGATTCTTTTTTAACAGATTCCTTATTATTGATTAATACAGGCAAGGCAACAAATTGATGTTTTGGCTGTAATTGTATCTGAAATTAGATTGGATACGATGCACTTCTCTTGGAAATTCGTTAAAGATGTCTGCTCCCATTAAGACTTGGCGCGCGTGTGTATAATTGTATTGCTTCTCATAGCTGGACGGAATAGGTAAACAAAATCTTGCCTCTCAAATGCAAGCTTCTACGAGCCTTGCAATTTATCTGCTTATTTGTATTGCATTTTTCGTTTTCTTTTTTCCTCGTTGTTGGGATTTTATGTTCATCAATATTGTTTGTATGCGTTTATTGTCATCTCCAACCACAAGACTCCTAACCTTAAATCGTCTAGTGTAACACCGCTAACTCCTACGTTTTCCAGACAATTTAACTGAACACGACATTAGCCCAACCAAATGCAAGTTGTATAATTGTGATTTCACTTTCTTCTGGCAGGTGAAGCTTTTACACAGGGCATCTGAGAGGCTGACATGACGTTAGGCTTAGCGAGAGCAATTTCTTGTAATTTCTTCAAAATACGTTGCTTGTATGGCCAAATGCACTTTTTATACTTTAAAACCTAATTAGGAGAGATTTATATGTCCAATTCTCTACTGAATTTTCTCATCAGATACTTTGAATAAAGCCTATAGTTTCAGTGTTTCATTAACTAAGGTATCTATATTGCTTACTCATGGATATCATTTTGATCATTGAGCTTTGTATTATTTTGGAGATGTTTTGTTGCTTTCTACAAAGTCTATTTACATATGTATTTATGTATGTGTGTAATGTGTGTGTGTCTATACATATACGTACCTATGTATGAGTGTAGGTGTGCATATGCGTTGATGCATGTATATCTCCTTTAGAAAAGTGGCTTAAACATAACAAGTGCTTTGTTTCGTGTCTTGCCAACTGCGGATCTATGCATTTGGAAGCTTCATGTCTATAGCAAACTCGCCCACGTGACGGTATCTCTTCCGCCACGTACATCTTGTTATATCACGTGCCACCATCATGGTATTTCCACCTGCACTCAATGCATGCTCCTCATTTTGGATCTTATTCACATCCATTATCTTCCTTCCATAAATGGCTTCCTACAGTAGTTCTTTGCATATCCTACTCTTCCACTATCTTGAGACTTTCTCTTTGTGAGTCACCTTTCCAATGGATATGGGGAGAACCTCTACTTTGAAAAAGGTTTGGCGACAGAGAGCCCCAGGACACTATAAGGGTGTTCAAATGAGGGCTTGGGGTAGATGGGTTTCCGAAATCAGGCTTCCAAAATCCGGGATCAAGATATGGTTGGGCACTTATGATGCCCCAGACCAGGCAGCTCGAGCCTACGATGCTGCTGTGTATTCCCTTCCCCTTTCCCCATTCCTAAGAAAGGATATTTGCTTGTTTTTTGAACTGTTGTGTGTTTTTAATGACTTGGCTTTTCTTTTCAAGTGTTGGTACATGAATAAACGATATGATGCTTGAGATGATATTTGTTTTGGATAAGGAATTGCTTGAGATGTGCGTTTGTCCTTCTAGCTGACACTAAATGGAATGTTTTCGGGAAGTAATTCTCCTCATAACCACTTTTGATAGAACCACGCTGAAATTCTTTTTAAAATCCATACGCTAATTGCTGGAAATGCTTTTGTTTGTTGTATGCCCGAACGCTACTGGAAACATTTTTGGATATCAGAAAGTTCTTAGACTTTCTGAAAGCATCGCCAAATATGCATTAAATTTGACCAAAAGGAGCTGTTGGAGATGCTTGTCTAATCTATAGATAATCCGCTTACTCTCTACCCTTTTGCGTTTGGTAGAAGCATACAATTGTTTTGATTTGACGAATGGAGCACTAGTTTTTGGCTCTTGCATTTAGCATTGGTTTACAACAAGTGTTTATCAACTCATTGAAATCCACATAAGACATAAGAATTCGCTCTCGCAAAGAAGCCAGAGGCTAGAAAAACTCAACTCATGGAGTCTACAACCTTTTCTTTCTTCTTTCCGATTACGAGTCTACAACCCTTGAGTTGATAATTGAGCGTTTGCGTGGTCGATGATGAGTAATACGGCACAACCCTTTTTGTTTTCTGGCTAAATTCGGCTGAATCCGTAGCCTTTCCTTAATCCTTGTATTCTCATGGCTCTCCTTGCCTCTTCCACGCCAAGCCAGTTTCCGGTTTCAGCATGAACCGTGCTCAGTAAGGTATAGTGGGCAGCATTCTCAGGCTCCAAGGTAACAAGCTCATGTGCTAAAAATTCTGCCTTGTCTAATTTTCCATGAATCTTGCAAGCTGTAACCAAAGAAGTCCAAATTCTAGTACTTGGTGTCATGGGCATTGATCTCACTAGCTCATAAGCATCTTCAAGCTTGCCCGTCCTTCCAAGAAGATCGATAAAGCAAGCGTAGTGCTCCGTGCTTAATTCTATTTTATTACCTTCTGTCAGACGCTTAAAGATCTTACTTCCTTCTTCCACTAGGCCGGCATGGGTGCAAGCAGATAAAACAGAGAGGAAAGTAACTGCATCAGGCTCTACCCCTCTCTCTTGCATCTCACCAAAGAGTTGCAGAGCTTTCTCGGAATCCCCATGAAGGCCATAACTGCCAATCAGTGCGCTCCATGAAACAGAATCTTTGCTCGGCATCTCCTTGAAAACCTGATGTGAATCCTTGAGACAACCACACTTTGCATACATATTGATGAGTGCATTCCCAATGAAAATGTCAAAACTTAACCCAGATTTTAAGACATAGCCATGGACTCCACAGCCAAGGATTAGTGAAGACAGGGAAGCGCAGACAGAAATGATCGCCAATACAGTTACAGAGTTGGGTTCAATTCCTTCAGCTCGCATTTGGCTGAAGAGTTTCAGAGATTTCGTGTAATCCCCGCATTGAGAATAGCTCCCAATAATCGAGCTCCATATCACAACATCTTTAACAGCTTCCCTCTCGAAAATTAACTTGGCAGAACGCAAAGCTTTCCCACATTTGCAATACATGTGTATGAGAGCTGCTGAGCAATGATTATCTGAATCGAACCCATGACGAAAGATATATGCATGAATCTCTTTCCCATGTTCTACAAGTCCCAACTCGGCACAAGCTGGTAAAATGGCAAGCACAGTCACCCTGTTGGGTTTCAGGCCTTCAACCTGCATTGACCGGAAGCAATCCAGGGCCGTGCCATAATTTGTTAATGTGTCTGATTCAAGAGGTTTGAACTGAAGAAGGAAAGCTGAACAAAGATCAAAAACAAAAACGAAGAACACAATGGAAGATGAATAGTTTTCTTTCTTCTCTCTGTCTAACTGCAGAGGAATATTTTCTGTGTTAATTAAAAGAGCACGAAGCACGTGCTTTTACATAACTGATGGCCTAGCACTTGGGACCACACATACACTACATTTCATCCTAGACACACATCTTTCTAATCTCATGGATCACTCAACACATGGCACTCATGGCCTTTTTACAAAACTAGACATTTACACTTTGCATCATTTTGCACAAGTGGATACACCAATTTAAACAAACTTATTCTAAAACTTTTCAGCTCAAATACTTATAGTTCAACACTCCCCTTTAAGTTTTGAGTTGATTTCACACCAAGCATATCTCGAAGATAGTTGAATCGATCCTTAGACAAAGCCTTAGTAAATATGTCTGCCACCTGCTCATTTGTTGGACAGTACACCAAATCGATTATCCCTTCCTGGAGTGCATTCTTGATAAAATGATACCTTCTGTCAATGTGCTTGGTTTTCTGATGGAAAACAGGATTTTTAGTAATTGCAATTGCTGCTGTATTATCACAGTGTACTGGAGTCGCTTCAGTTTGCATCTCACCAAAATCTTCAAGAACAAATCTAAGCCAAATGGCTTGAACAGTTGCTTCAGAGGCACTGATGTACTCTGCTTCTGCTGTAGAGAGTGCTACACAATTCTGCTTCACTGAGGCCCACGAGAACACTCCACTACCAAAGGAAAATGCATAACCGGAAGTACTTTTGCTGTCATCAACAGATCCTCCCCAATCACTATCACAGAAACCGATTAACATTGCATTCTTTCCTTTGACATACTCCAGACCATAGTCTAATGTTCCCTTGATGTATCTAAGCACTCTTTTGGCAGTCCCATAGTGTTTGTTTGTGGGAGAATGCATGAACCTGGAAAGTAGGCTTGCTGCATACATTATGTCTGGTCTTGTAGCTGTAAGATACAGTAAACTGCCCACAATTTTTCTATACTGTTCTTCATTTGCTGGACCACTTCCATCATCCTTACTAAGTTTTTCAGCTGAAATCAATGGTGTAGACACAGACTTGCATTCATTCAACCCAAATTTATTCAACAAGGAAGAGGCATACTTCTTTTGGTGAATAAATATGCTGAAATTAGTTTGAATGACTCCCATTCCAAGAAAATGGTGAAGTAAACCCAAATCAGTCATCTCATATTTCATCATCATGTCCTCTTTGAATTCTTCCAACATTTCTTTGCTACTACCTGTGTAGACAATATCATCTACATAGATAGACACAATTATGATATCCTTTTCTCCCCTTGACTTGATGTACAATGTTGGTTCACTGAGACTCTTTTGGAAACCACACTGGGAGAAGTAAGCATCAATTTCTCCATACCAGGCTCTAGGTGCCTGTTTCAGGCCATAAAGAGCTTTATGAAGCCTATACACTTTATCTTCTTTGCCTTGCACTGTGAATCCCTCTGGTTGGTCTACATATACTTCTTCCTGCAGTCCATTTAGGAAGGCAGATTTAACATCAAGTTGATACAACCTCCAGCTCTTTTGGGCAGCTAATGCAATGAGAGTTCTGATAGTGTCCAGTCTAGCCACTGGAGCATAAGTTTCATTATAGTCGAAACCAGGTTTCTGAGCATAACCTTTGGCAACCAACCTTGCCTTGTTCTTCAATACTGTGCCATCCAGATTCAATTTGGTTTTATAGACCCATTTAACCCCAATGACAGGCTGCATTGTTGGTCTATCTACTAATTCCCATGTACCATTCTTTTCAATCATGGTCAACTCATCCTGCATTGCTCTTAACCATGATTCATCTTGAGCTGCTTCTTCATATCTTTCAGGTTCCATAACACACAGATTGCATTGAGCAAAAATATCATCAAGATTTCTCCATTTCAGAGGTGTGTGATCATAATCCTCTGAAAGCTTTGCAGATTCAGGAGTACAACTTTCTTGTTCTTGTATATGAAAAGGAGAACTAGGACTGAGAGAACTTCCTTCAATCACACTCATCTCATATGGATTCATACCAACTACATTTTCAGGTTGATCCTGAATGTAGGTTGCAGCAGCTGAACTTTGTGGATTTTCTTTCCAATTCCAGGTCATAGATTCATCAAAGACTACATCTCTTGACAGGATTAACTTGTTAGTACATGGATCAAATATTCTATATCCCTTCTCGCATGTAGCATAACCCACAAATACACCTTTAATACTCTTAGCATCTAGCTTTTGTCTTGTCTCAGTAGGTACATGTACATAGCACAGGGAACCAAAAATCTTGAGATGTGCTATACCTGGTTTTCTGCCACTATAAGCTTCAAAAGGAGTCATATTTCCAAGTGCCATTGTAGGACACCTATTTAGAATATATACAGCTGTGTGTACTGCTTCAGCCCAAAGAACATATGGCATACCTCTATCATGGAGCATAGTTTTTGCCATTTCAACCACAGTTCGATTTTTCCTTTCCACTACCATTCTGCTGAGGAGTATAAGCCATGGTGAGTTGTCTTTGAATGCCTTCAGTTTCACAGAACTTAGTGAACTCAGAAGATAAGAATTCTCCACCTCTGTCACTCCTTAGACTTTTAATTTTGAAACCACTCTGCAGTTCCACCATTGACTTGAACCTTTTAAAATAATTGAATGCATCAGATTTGTATCTGAGAAAATACACCCAAATCATTCTTGTATAATCATCGATGAGTAACATGAAGTATCTGTTTCCAGCCAAGGATGCATTCTGCATAGGACCACACAAATCAGCATGAATAAGTTCCAGGGGACAGTTTGCTCTCCAGGATTGATTCTTTGGAAACCAGTCTCTATGTTGCTTTCCAAATTGACATCCTTGACATACATCTTTGATTTCTTCTAGGTATGGAAGACCATGCACCATATTTTTCTCACGGAGTTGCTTTAACCCCCTGAAGTTCAAATGACCTAGTCTTCTGTGCCAAGTCCGAGTAGAGTGATCTATGCTTGCTTTCAGAACCAACCGGTTGTCTTGCAACAGGGAAAGAGGATAGCAACGATTTTCCTTCTTCTTGACCTTGATGACAAGATTGTCAAGTGAAGGTCCATCAAACACACTACACAAACCTCCTCCAAACACTAGATAATATCCATGCTCATCCATTTGACCTACACTCAACAAATTTTCCTTCAATCCTGGCAAGTGCATGACCTCTCTAATGTACTTCTTCCCCTTATTAGTATCAATTTCCAATGAGCCCATTCCAGCAACATTTACTAACACTCCAGTAGGCATCTGCACCTTTCCAGCAACATTTGTTCTTATATCAACAAGGAGATCAGCATTCCCTGTCATGTGGTTACTACAACCACTGTCAATGTACCAATTTCCATTGACATTTTTCTCTGAAATTGCACTATTAGCATAGAACAGATTCCCTGTCACTTCCACCTGATTTGCAGAATTTGCCTTTTGCATAATCTTCCCTATAGTGCATTCTCTAGCCCAATGACCAAACTTATCACTATAACATTTGGGCTTCCCTTTATATCTACATTCACCAAAATGGAACTTAGAACACACTCTACACTGTGGTTTGGTACCCTCTTGACTCATAACCTGTGAGGAAGCATTATTCTGTGCAACATTTGTGAATGATTTTTGCTGAAACTTTGGTTTTGAATCCCACTTCTTACCCTTTTGATTCCAATTTCTCTGTGATTTAAAATTACTAGACTGAGCATAACTTCGATTCTGCCCTTTTGAATTAACAGTAAGAGAAGAAAATGCTCTCTCAGTTGCATCTGAGGAATGCAAATCAAACCTCTGCTCTTGACTCTTCAATATAGCTAGGACCTCTTGCAGTTCAACAGATTCTAAACATTTGGTGTTTTCTATCACTAAGCATATAGGATCATATATCTTAGTGAGACTGATTAACACCTTCTGAACTAATCTCTCATTTGACAAAGTTTCACCAAACGTCTTCATTTGATTAATCAGATCATTCAAACGAGTAAGATACCCAGTCAAGGATTCATCATCATGCATTCTAGTGTATTCAAATTCTCGTCTGAGATTTTGGAGTTTCACAGATCTTACCTGATCCCCACCGTGATATTCGCCGTATAACAGATCCCATGCCATTTTTGCTGAGTCTGCGTTTGCGATTCGAGGGAAGATCTGATCGGAGACTGCGCTTTGAATGATTCCGAGAGCTTTTGCATCTTTCATGAAGATTGCAGCCATTCTCTCATCATCGTCAGCATCAACATCAGTATCTTCATCAGTCTTAGCTTTCTTCTTCTTCGAATCGGGAACCGAAATCCCTTTTTCCACCAGATTCCATAGTCCATGTGACTTGAAAATGGTAACCATTTTGATTCTCCAGAACTCGTAGTTCTCACCGGAGAAGATCGGGGTCCTCACTTCAGCACCTCCAGATCCAGCCATTTTTCAATCTTTCGTGAGCTTCGATTGAGCTCAGTAACCTCACAGATTTACGCCCGGATTTTTTTTTTTTTTAAACGACGCAACCTGGCTCTGAGGCCATGTTAATGTGTCTGATTCAAGAGGTTTGAACTGAAGAAGGAAAGCTGAACAAAGATCAAAAACAAAAACGAAGAACACAATGGAAGATGAATAGTTTTCTTTCTTCTCTCTGTCTAACTGCAGAGGAATATTTTCTGTGTTAATTAAAAGAGCACGAAGCACGTGCTTTTACATAACTGATGGCCTAGCACTTGGGACCACACATACACTACATTTCATCCTAGACACACATCTTTCTAATCTCATGGATCACTCAACACATGGCACTCATGGCCTTTTTACAAAACTAGACATTTACACTTTGCATCATTTTGCACAAGTGGATACACCAATTTAAACAAACTTATTCTAAAACTTTTCAGCTCAAATACTTATAGTTCAACATAATTGTGATTAGCAATGCATCCCGAAACTAAGGCAGTCCAAGAAACTTCATTTTTAACTTCCATATGATAAAATACATGTAAAGCCATCGACGAGTCGCGAAACCTCATATACAAATCAACCAGAGCCGTCGACAAGAACCCCGACTCCTTAATCATTCCATGAACAACAACGAGCCCGTGAATCTCTCTGCCCAGTCGTCTCAACTCTCCTGACCTCGCGCAAACTGACATGATGCCGGCAATCAACTCTGCTTTCGGTACAAAACCATAAAAATGCATTTGCTTAAGCACTTGCAGACCTTTTTCAAGATGCCCATTTTGCAAATAGCAATTTATCATGGAATTCCAGGTGATGGTGTCTCGTTCAGGCATTTCATCAAACATCTGACGTGCTGCTTCAACAGTTGTAAATTTGGCGTACATGGAGATGAGAGAATTGGATACGACCAGGTCTGAGTCGGAGCCTGACTTGAGAGCGACGCAGTGAAGTTGAAGGCCGAAGTGGCAGGACATTGCGTAGGAGCAAGCTTTAATGATTGAAGGAAGAATGGAGGTCTTTGCATGAAGGCCATGGGGATGGAGTTGTAGTTGGTATAGATGAAGGGTTTGGTCATATAATCCCTTGGAAACCAAGTCTTTGATTTTAAAGTTAAGGGCTGATATCGTGTCTGCGGGGCTTGGAGTTGACGGGAACCGCCTGATCACAGTCACATGGTGATGCATGATATTATTGATTGGTTTTATAAAGGATTGAATGTTTTCAGGTTATATCTTCAGGTGTATCCCTGCATGCCTGCATGGCAACAATTGAGTTCATACATAAATATTAAACAGACAGTGGCTATACCTATACTATTTTTAGACCATTTTTTTTGTAGAACGCTGAACACATGATATGGTGGTTGATAGTTGAACACTTTTTTCAAATCATTAAAAAATAGCTCTATCATCAACCGCCATATCATATGGATATAAAAGATGGTTTAAAAATTTGATCTACCTAGCATTTTCTATACTATTATTCAAAAAAGATCGATTGCTTGTAAACCTTTTTAGTAAAGAGTGCGTGAAGCTTTTGCAGTTGAAGTTCTAGGCTCTGACCTTAACATTAAAATTATGGGAAATGATTTTTACACTACTTTTAACTCTTCATACTGTTTTTATTTGGATAATAAATCAAATGTAAACAAGTGACCAAGATTAAATACGGGAGTGTGAGAGACTAAAAAAAGGGGTGTTTATCATTTTCCTATATTATGTTTATGCCATTTTCCTATTCGTTTATGCCATTAGATCCTTTAAAGTGATTTGCTACCCAGCTATTGAAGGTGGAGTGTGTCCTACTAATGTAAGGGCTTTGCGTGCGTGTAATTAGACTTCAACACAAATTGATAATGAATCATCTATCCACTTGACTCATAAATCATTCAGCCAATCGCCTTAATTCTTAGTTTAGTTACAAGTCTACGCTACCAGGCTCGGTGGCAATCACAGTTCGTATAATTACTCCCCCTCAAAGAACAACCTTGTCCTCAAGGTCTATTTTAAAACTTGAAATCTGAGAATTTGGCAATGAATTCATCATAATCTTCCCAAGCAACTTCCTCCACACTGTTTCCCCCCCGGTGTACCAGCAATTGAACTCCAGTTGCATTTTCCTTTTTGTACATCCTTCTCTGAAAAACTGACAGAGGATTTTGCTGCATTAATCCATTTTCTGTAACCATTGGCAGAATTGATGATGGTGTAGCATTTGATCCCAGATGCAATATCATTACCAACAAGAATTGGCAACTTGTTCTTGAATTTTCTCCACTATCCATTCACCCGGTTCATTGTGTCTTCTAAGTTCATCCAACCATCCAAAATAAGGATAAGAAACGGATGTGCACTCCATTTTGAGACAAGAAGTTTCAAGTAGTTTTTCAGGTGGTTGACTTGATCATGATACCCTAGACAATGCATCCATGTTTGTATTGACTCTCATAGTCGTACCCCAATAGTTTTGCCACCTATTTTTGCTGAATAGAGTGTGTGCCCTGTGATTGAGCAAATACTGGAAACTGTTATGGTCGGTTTAATCACAAAATGGCGCCCTTGCAAATAATTCTGCCATTTCTTGACTACGTGCACAATAGCAACGAGTTCTCTTTCATAAGACAATGATTGATTCCTAGGACCCAAATCTTGACTGGTAAAAGCAATTGGCCTTCTCTTCTGTTGTAATACTGCAACAATTCCATTGCCTGAGGCATCACACTCAAGCTCAAATCGTAATGTAAAATCTGGCAGAGCCAAGACTTGTGGTGATGTCATGACTTGTTTGAGCTGCTGGAAAGCTTCTTTAGCACCCTGAGACCACTGAAACCCATCTTTCTTAGTCAACTTGTAGGTTGACATATTTTGCCATAGCCAAGAACAACTTCATGTAATATCTAGTGAGTCCCAAGAATCTTCTCAAAACCTTCACATTAGCAGGTGTAGACCAATCAATTATAGCTTGAAGCTTTGATGGATCAGCAACTACTCCCTTCCTGGAAACAGTATGTCCCAGATAATTCACTTTACTTTGGCCATTTCTTTTTCACAAATAATTGATTACCTTTCAGCAGCTCAAATGTTATATATAAGTGAGACAAATGATTTTCCCAAGACTTGCTATATACCAAGATATCATCAAAGAATACCAGAATAAACTACCTCAAGGTAAAGCCTAAAAATGTCATCATTCATCAAATTCTGGAATGTAGCCTGTGCATTTGTGAGTCCACAGGGCCTAACTAGGAACACATAATGCCCTTCATGTCTCCTGAATGCAATCTTCTCCACATCTGATCGATCCATCCTGATTTGGTGGTGACCATATCTTAAACCAAGCTTGGAAAGAATTTTACACCAAATAATTCATCCAATAAATCATCAATCAAAGATTTTGGATACTAGTATTTAATAGTAAGTTGAATCCAATTCCCAGTAATACATACACAATCTCTACGCCTCTTCTTTCTTTTTGACAAGTAACACAGGAAATAAGAAAGGAATATGACTTGGTCGAATAAAACCTGACTACAATAACTCCTGTACAGCTTTTTCAATGTCAGTTTTTTGGATACTTGTATTTAATAGTAAGTTGAACCAATTCCCTGTAATACATACACAATCTCTACGTCCCTTCTTTCTTTTTGACAAGTAACACAGGAAATGAGAAAGGAATATGACTTGGTCGAATAAAACCTGACTACAATAACTCCTGTACAGCTTTTTCAATGTCAGTTTTTTGCCAAGATCCATAGTGATAATGCCTGATGCTACGTTTAGGTTGAAACATGATGGGCAATGTTGTTTTTGGAAGCTCCAATACATATAACAAATTGCACATATATCGCCTAGCATATGACATCAAGTTAGATCTTCACTTGATTACATTTTAGTGCAAATAGGAGATTGTTGGATGATTGCCTTAAAAGCAATCAAGATTAGTGGTTTTGCTTAAGGTAATACAGTAGGCAAGATCACTGTAGGCAGATTACCAATGTAATCTCATTAGTGAGTTCATGGTACAGTTATATGCATATGTAAGAAGTAACTTTTGAGATAATGTTAAGGAGATCTTTTTCATATGTGTTTATCCTAAACTTGTTCCTAGTCATTGGATTCTTTGAGTGGTTATCTTAGGCCATCTCCAACCAAAGGCTGGCTAGAATGCTCGTTTTGGCCCTCTGGCCCTCCAAGAATTAATATTTTAATAAACAGTGCAGGGCCATGTTTCTTATTATCTCCAACCGAGGGCCAAAGGGCCGTAGGACCAAACATAATTTATTATTTAAATTTAAAAACTACAACTACAACAAATTAAATGTAATATAATTAAATATTAAAAAGAAATTGTGAAAGGAACATGCTTATGAAAGGAACTACAACTATAACTACACCCATTATAATTGTCCCACATCGTCCGTGGGAGATGAATGAGCAAGGAAACATGCTTATAAAATGAACACCCCAACTTTGACCAAATGACCTTTCTCGGCCCAAAAAATCTAAACCCATAATTAAATATTTTTTAGAAAATTTTGGCCCAAAAAAAAAAAACTGTAAAAAAAATATAAAATATGACGTCAGCATGTAGCCCCGCCAGGGGCTGGCTGGTTTGGGCCAGCCAGTTGGCCATTTGGCTCTTTTTTGTCCAGTGGGGTCCACAAGCCCTTTGGCCTGACCCTTGGTTGGAGACGGTTTTCGGGCTATTTTCCGCCGTTTGGCCCCCTAGACCCTTCGGTTGGAGATGGCCTTATAATCCGATCTTTGCACAATTGTAGGATGGGATGCATGGCTAGTTTCAAGTCATTAGCAAGAGTCGATAAGATAAGTGTGTAAATGCTTAATAATGATTAAATTCACTAAATGGGATCAAGTCTCGAGATCTTATGTGTATATACTAGATACATGCTCATGTCAATACGAACTCAATTGTTGCAATAATGCAAATTGGTCCTTGGACCTGAGGCATTGCAATTGTCTTGTGATTAGGTATTTGATCTTAGATTATGTTAACGGTACTCTGATACGATAGGGTATCCATGACATTGTTGAGATTAGACTGCCTAATCATGGAGGCAAGTGAATGTACAAAAAACAATCTCTAACCTTCATAATTGAAGGAGAATGCTCATCGACAACATTTAGAATTTCTTTGGTCAAAACATTGTGATTTGGAATAATGTTTCAAATTTATCAAGTTGTTCACTTAGGTACTTTACATAATATAGCCTAATCAATGTGATTGAGAGCATTGTATTAGAGAATGACCGTATTGCATTGTAATTGCAACGAAATAGGTTCTCTCGTAAATACTACATTGACTCAGGGACCATAACATGCAACTAGGTGTCCTCTATAGTCTGAAATCCTATAAGACGATAATTTTTATCTTCATAAAGAGATGGATTAAAAGAAGTTTCAAATCCGTCAAAATATTAGAGGAGTCTAATTCATCTCACAACCTCGTCAACGAGAACTTAATAAGATTGCACACCCTATGCTAGAATACTAGACCAAGTTATCACAATGTGATGAAATAATCAATTGGTTTGATTAAGATGGAGGAAATAATATTCTATTTATTTAATTAATTATTATGATGGTTGTAAGTCTAAAGTGGTCCTTGAAAGAGTTTCGGGAGTTGCGGAGATTCATAGGGCCCAAACTCATTGTCACCTTAGTTCTAAAGATGAACTACGACAGTTTGATCTTAGTTGGAGACCAAGTACGTAGGCAACCTATGCAAGCGATGAATAGGTACAACCGAAAGTTTTGTACTAAGGGTGCTCAATGGGTGCTCAATGGGTCTTGAACATGAAGCATGCAAAGGAAGGATGATGGCCCTCCTTTAGGGTGAACAACCTTGATAAAAATCAAGGTAGTGATATAAGAGTATAAACTAAATTTCCTTGAAATTGCATGTGGTAATCTATCAAAGCAATAAGTTTCAAACATCCATTATTTTCAAGCTTTGGAGTGCTTGCAATGCTTCCAGTTTTAGTTTCTAATTTTTAATTTGCATGCACTTTGTTGGCCAAAACTTGATTAGGATCCAAATTCAGTTCCTAACATGGGTTAATATATTTTTGGGTTAATCTTAGTTTACTATCCTGAAATTTCTTGGTTTTTAACGTTTGATACATCTAAGTTTTTTTATTCCAGAGCGGTACCTGAAGTCATAATTTTTGGGACACTCTCATACATTCGTTAAGGTTGATGTTAAATCAGCCGTTAACTGGTAACGTGGCACCCACGTAGACAATAACTGGGTGCCATATGTACATATGGGGCCCATGTGGACA